TGTGACTAGGATGGGGCTGTGAATGGACTGGGTGACTTTTTGAATAGAGGCTGTGGCAGCAGAGCAGGTTGGGGGAGGGTAACAAGAGCAAAGGATGCTCGTGCGGCATCCTAGCCCAGCCTGGGGCCATTATGGTGACAGAGGGATTGACAGTTGATTGGCTCTTAGTAATGGAGCCTGCACTTAGGCCCTGTGCTTCCAGCCCTTGCTTGAGAGCTGAGGAAGCCATGGACCAGCCCTCCCCAAGCAAGGGCTACCATTAATGAGCCCCTCCTTTCTCCACCCTGCGGGTACTGTGTTTCCCTCAGAGGCGCTCCTGGAGTCAACTGCAGCAGAAGGTAACATCTACTATGGGGGATCCCTGTGGGCTCATTACCCCACTGCACCCCTAGGTTCATCTCTGATCCAGAAGAGGTGCAGAGGGCATAGAAAGTAGTGAGCTGGCGTCATGTGCTCAGGTAGTGTGGATGTCACCTTACACTGTGTATGTGCAACTCTGAGTCAATATCACCACACATGAGCACGTGTTTGTACACTTGTGTGTGCTCTGCAGTTACTTGCTTTGCTGTAAGTGATGTCTTAGTTGATGTTGGAGGGTAGGTGGCACTGCCCCTATTTCATAGACAATGAAGGTCAAGGGATCATCTGCCTGTCCTTCTGAACCTGGATGTGGTGCAGGCAGGCTTCAGTCTCAGCCCCTCAGAGCCTGCTGAAGCAATCACCTCATGGACTAGTTCTGATGAGCAGCATCAGGACCACCCCTGTCCTGCGATACAAATAAATACCTTCCTAGGGAGAAGTTTCTCCTCTTTTAAAGGCTAAGGAGGATGGGGGAACTGCTGGTCCTTAAGACATAAATGTTTACCAACGTCAAATTGAGGAATAACCCAAGGCATTCTCTTTATTGGGAATTAAATGACAAATAAAAGATACTTAATATTATCAATGGAAAAGAGAACTTCTCCTGGACCCGACCCAGCAAATCCCAGTTCTGATTTCCTTTGTTCACACAGTGCCAGGATGTGTGCAGACACCAAGGGGATTTTTAATCCACAAAGAAACCTCCAAGGACACTGTCCCATGGTGTGATCCCCAAAGAGGAGTTTCTGGTTAAACTGTCTACTTTGAGAGCAACTCTGGCATTTGGAGTGTGGGCTGGACTGAGCCCAGGCTACCATGCCTGGGGTGTGCCCTTGATAATCCAACTACCAAGTGGGACTGGGCTCCCCAAGGGGGCATCGTCCCCCATGCAGCCGCTTTGTGAGTGGCTTAGTGTTGCATTCTGGAAAGGTTGGTTTGCTTTCAAAACCACCTTTTTTCTAGTTGAACCACCTTCTCAGGAATATTCCAGTCATGGTGAATATTTGTCATTTGAGGGTGTGTTTGAGCCATAGACACAGTCAGATGTCTTTTGACATTCAATCTTGTGACTAGCCTGGGGTTGTGAATGGACTGGGTAACCTCTTGAATAGAGACTGTGGCAGCAGAGGAGGTGGGGGTAGGGTAATAATAGTAAAGGATGCTCGTGTGGCATCCTAGCCCAGTCTGGGACCAGTACAATCAATCACAGAGCGATTGGCACATGGTTGGCTTTTAGCAATGGAGGGTGCCCTTAGGCCCTGTGTTTCCAGCCCTTGCTTCAGAGCTGAGGAAGCCATGGACCAACCCTCCCCAAGCAAGGGCTACCATTAATGAGCCCCTCCTTTCTCCACCCTGCAGATACTGTGTTTCCCTCGGAGGCGCTCCTGGAGGCAACTACAGCAGAAGGTAACATCTACTATGGGGGATCCCTGTGGGCTCATTACCCCACTGCACCCCTAGGTTCATCTCTGATCCAGAAGAGGTGCAGAGGGCATAGAAAGTAGTGAGCTGGCGTCATGTGCTCAGGTAGTGTGGATGTCACCTTACACTGTGTATGTGCAACTCTGAGTCAATATCACCACACATGAGCTCATGTGTATACTTATGAGTGTGCTCTATAGTTTACTTGCTTTGATGTAAGTCATGTCTTAATTGATGTTGGAGGGCAGGTGGTACCGCCCCTTTTCATAGATAGTGCAGGTCAATGGATCATCTGCCTGTCTTTCTGAAGCTGAATGTGGTGGAGGCAGGCTTCAGTCTCAGCCCCCCGGAGTCTGCTGATACAATCACCTCATAGACTGGTTCTGATGAGCAGCATCGCGACCACCCCTGGCCTAGGATACCAAGTATATATCTTCCTAAGTGGCAGTTTCTCCTCTTTTAAAGGATGAGGAGGATGGAGGGTTTTTTAAATCCACAAAGAAACCTCCAAGGACACTGTCCCATGGTGTGTTCCCCAAAGAGGAGTTTCTGGTTAAACTGTCTACTTTGAGAGTAACTCTGGCATTTGGAGTGTGGGCTGGACTGAGCCCAGGCTACCATGCCTGGGGTGTGCCCTTGATAATCCAGCTACCAAGTGGGACTGGGCTCCCCAAGGGGGCATCGTCCCCCATGCAGCCGCTTTGTGAGTGGCTTAGTGTTGCATTCTGGAAAGGTTGGTTTGCTTTCAAAACCACCTTTTTTCTAGTTGAACCACCTTCTCAGGAATATTCCAGTCATGGTGAATATTTGTCATTTGAGGGTGTGTTTGAGCCATAGACACAGTCAGATGTCTTTTGACATTCAATCTTGTGACTAGCCTGGGGTTGTGAATGGACTGGGTAACCTCTTGAATAGAGACTGTGGCAGCAGAGGAGGTGGGGTAGGGTAATAATAGTAAAGGATGCTCGTGTGGCATCCTAGCCCAGTCTGGGACCAGTACAATCAATCACAGAGCGATTGGCACATGGTTGGCTTTTAGCAATGGAGGGTGCCCTTAGGCCCTGTGTTTCCAGCCCTTGCTTCAGAGCTGAGGAAGCCATGGACCAACCCTCCCCAAGCAAGGGCTACCATTAATGAGCTCCTCCCTTCTCCACCCTGCAGGTACTGTGTTTCCCTCGGAGGCGCTCCTGGAGGCAACTACAGCAGAAGGTAACATCTACTATGGGGGATCCCTGTGGGCTCATTACCCCACTGCACCCCTAGGTTCATCTCTGATCCAGAAGAGGTGCAGAGGGCATAGAAAGTAGTGAGCTGGCGTCATGTGCTCAGGTAGTGTGGATGTCACCTTACACTGTGTATGTGCAACTCTGAGTCAATATCACCACACATGAGCTCATGTGTATACTTATGAGTGTGCTCTATAGTTTACTTGCTTTGATGTAAGTCATGTCTTAATTGATGTTGGAGGGCAGGTGGTACCGCCCCTTTTCATAGATAGTGCAGGTCAATGGATCATCTGCCTGTCTTTCTGAAGCTGAATGTGGTGGAGGCAGGCTTCAGTCTCAGCCCCCCGGAGTCTGCTGATACAATCACCTCATAGACTGGTTCTGATGAGCAGCATCGCGACCACCCCTGGCCTAGGATACCAATATATATCTTCCTAAGTGGCAGTTTCTCCTCTTTTAAAGGATGAGGAGGATGGAGGGTTTTTTAAATCCACAAAGAAACCTCCAAGGACACTGTCCCATGGTGTGTTCCCCAAAGAGGAGTTTCTGGTTAAACTGTCTACTTTGAGAGTAACTCTGGCATTTGGAGTGTGGGCTGGACTGAGCCAGGCTACCATGCCTGGGGTGTGCCCTTGATAATCCAGCTACCAAGTGGGACTGGGCTCCCCAAGGGGGCATCGTCCCCCATGCAGCCGCTTTGTGAGTGGCTTAGTGTTGCATTCTGGAAAGGTTGGTTTGCTTTCAAAACCACCTTTTTCTAGTTGAACCACCTTCTCAGGAATATTCCAGTCATGGTGAATATTTGTCATTTGAGGGTGTGTTTGAGCCATAGACACAGTCAGATGTCTTTTGACATTCAATCTTGTGACTAGCCTGGGGTTGTGAATGGACTGGGTAACCTCTTGAATAGAGACTGTGGCAGCAGAGGAGGTGGGGGTAGGGTAATAATAGTAAAGGATGCTCGTGTGGCATCCTAGCCCAGTCTGGGACCAGTACAATCAATCACAGAGCGATTGGCACATGGTTGGCTTTTAGCAATGGAGGGTGCCCTTAGGCCCTGTGTTTCCAGCCCTTGCTTCAGAGCTGAGGAAGCCATGGACCAACCCTCCCCAAGCAAGGGCTACCATTAATGAGCTCCTCCCTTCTCCACCCTGCAGGTACTGTGTTTCCCTCGGAGGCGCTCCTGGAGGCAACTACAGCAGAAGGTAACATCTACTATGGGGGATCCCTGTGGGCTCATTACCCCACTGCACCCCTAGGTTCATCTCTGATCCAGAAGAGGTGCAGAGGGCATAGAAAGTAGTGAGCTGGCGTCATGTGCTCAGGTAGTGTGGATGTCACCTTACACTGTGTATGTGCAACTCTGAGTCAATATCACCACACATGAGCTCATGTGTATACTTATGAGTGTGCTCTATAGTTTACTTGCTTTGATGTAAGTCATGTCTTAATTGATGTTGGAGGGCAGGTGGTACCGCCCCTTTTCATAGATAGTGCAGGTCAATGGATCATCTGCCTGTCTTTCTGAAGCTGAATGTGGTGGAGGCAGGCTTCAGTCTCAGCCCCCCGGAGTCTGCTGATACAATCACCTCATAGACTGGTTCTGATGAGCAGCATCGCGACCACCCCTGGCCTAGGATACCAATATATATCTTCCTAAGTGGCAGTTTCTCCTCTTTTAAAGGATGAGGAGGATGGAGGGTTTTTTAAATCCACAAAGAAACCTCCAAGGACACTGTCCCATGGTGTGTTCCCCAAAGAGGAGTTTCTGGTTAAACTGTCTACTTTGAGAGTAACTCTGGCATTTGGAGTGTGGGCTGGACTGAGCCCAGGCTACCATGCCTGGGGTGTGCCCTTGATAATCCAGCTACCAAGTGGGACTGGGCTCCCCAAGGGGGCATCGTCCCCCATGCAGCCGCTTTGTGAGTGGCTTAGTGTTGCATTCTGGAAAGGTTGGTTTGCTTTCAAAACCACCTTTTTCTAGTTGAACCACCTTCTCAGGAATATTCCAGTCATGGTGAATATTTGTCATTTGAGGGTGTGTTTGAGCCATAGACACAGTCAGATGTCTTTTGACATTCAATCTTGTGACTAGCCTGGGGTTGTGAATGGACTGGGTAACCTCTTGAATAGAGACTGTGGCAGCAGAGGAGGTGGGGGTAGGGTAATAATAGTAAAGGATGCTCGTGTGGCATCCTAGCCCAGTCTGGGACCAGTACAATCAATCACAGAGCGATTGGCACATGGTTGGCTTTTAGCAATGGAGGGTGCCCTTAGGCCCTGTGTTTCCAGCCCTTGCTTCAGAGCTGAGGAAGCCATGGACCAACCCTCCCCAAGCAAGGGCTACCATTAATGAGCTCCTCCCTTCTCCACCCTGCAGGTACTGTGTTTCCCTCGGAGGCGCTCCTGGAGGCAACTACAGCAGAAGGTAACATCTACTATGGGGGATCCCTGTGGGCTCATTACCCCACTGCACCCCTAGGTTCATCTCTGATCCAGAAGAGGTGCAGAGGGCATAGAAAGTAGTGAGCTGGCGTCATGTGCTCAGGTAGTGTGGATGTCACCTTACACTGTGTATGTGCAACTCTGAGTCAATATCACCACACATGAGCTCATGTGTATACTTATGAGTGTGCTCTATAGTTTACTTGCTTTGATGTAAGTCATGTCTTAATTGATGTTGGAGGGCAGGTGGTACCGCCCCTTTTCATAGATAGTGCAGGTCAATGGATCATCTGCCTGTCTTTCTGAAGCTGAATGTGGTGGAGGCAGGCTTCAGTCTCAGCCCCCCGGAGTCTGCTGATACAATCACCTCATAGACTGGTTCTGATGAGCAGCATCGCGACCACCCCTGGCCTAGGATACCAAATATATATCTTCCTAAGTGGCAGTTTCTCCTCTTTTAAAGGATGAGGAGGATGGAGGGTTTTTTAAATCCACAAAGAAACCTCCAAGGACACTGTCCCATGGTGTGTTCCCCAAAGAGGAGTTTCTGGTTAAACTGTCTACTTTGAGAGTAACTCTGGCATTTGGAGTGTGGGCTGGACTGAGCTCAGGCTACCATGCCTGGGGTGTGCCCTTGATAATCCAGCTACCAAGTGGGACTGGGCTCCCCAAGGGGGCATCGTCCCCCATGCAGCCGCTTTGTGAGTGGCTTAGTGTTGCATTCTGGAAAGGTTGGTTTGCTTTCAAAACCACCTTTTTTCTAGTTGAACCACCTTCTCAGGAATATTCCAGTCATGGTGAATATTTGTCATTTGAGGGTGTGTTTGAGCCATAGACACAGTCAGATGTCTTTTGACATTCAATCTTGTGACTAGCCTGGGGTTGTGAATGGACTGGGTAACCTCTTGAATAGAGACTGTGGCAGCAGAGGAGGTGGGGGTAGGGTAATAATAGTAAAGGATGCTCGTGTGGCATCCTAGCCCAGTCTGGGACCAGTACAATCAATCACAGAGCGATTGGCACATGGTTGGCTTTTAGCAATGGAGGGTGCCCTTAGGCCCTGTGTTTCCAGCCCTTGCTTCAGAGCTGAGGAAGCCATGGACCAACCCTCCCCAAGCAAGGGCTACCATTAATGAGCTCCTCCCTTCTCCACCCTGCAGGTACTGTGTTTCCCTCGGAGGCGCTCCTGGAGGCAACTACAGCAGAAGGTAACATCTACTATGGGGGATCCCTGTGGGCTCATTACCCCACTGCACCCCTAGGTTCATCTCTGATCCAGAAGAGGTGCAGAGGGCATAGAAAGTAGTGAGCTGGCGTCATGTGCTCAGGTAGTGTGGATGTCACCTTACACTGTGTATGTGCAACTCTGAGTCAATATCACCACACATGAGCTCATGTGTATACTTATGAGTGTGCTCTATAGTTTACTTGCTTTGATGTAAGTCATGTCTTAATTGATGTTGGAGGGCAGGTGGTACCGCCCCTTTTCATAGATAGTGCAGGTCAATGGATCATCTGCGTCTTTCTGAAGCTGAATGTGGTGGAGTAAAGGATGCTCATGTGACATCCTAGCCAGCCTGGGACCAGTACAATGACAGAGCGATTGGCAAATGGTTGGCTTTTAGCAATGGAGGGTGCCCTTCGGCACTGTGTTTCCAGCCCTTGCTTCAGAGCTGAGGAAGCCATGGACCAACCCTCCCCAAGTGAGGGCTACCATTAATGAGCTCCTCCTTTCTCCACCCTGCAGGTTCTGTGTTTCCTACAGAGGCGCCCCTGGAGTCAACTGCAGCAGAAGGTAACGTCTACTATGAGGGATCCCTGTGGGCTCATTACCTCTCTGCACCCCTAGGTTCATCTCTGATTCAGATGAGGTGCAGAGGTCCTAGAAAGTAGGGTGCTTAGCTCCCAAGAGGGGCCCTTCCACATAAGGCCTTAGGTCTGAACAGGTATCTCTTGCATCGATCGTGTCTGAGACTGAGGAGGAATCAACTTGAAGATACATCTCCAAGGAGTTCTCAGTGGACTCTTGTTTCTAGAGATTCTGTTATCCTTGCTTGTTGCTCGCTCCTGTGTTCCTCACCCAGCTGTGCTCATCTCTGGCCAGCCTATGGTGCTGGATCTCTGGCTACAGGGCCTTGAGAGGCAGGTGCCTACCTGCTAAACGTAGCCAAATTGCTAGGACAGCATCCTTGCCCTTGCCCTTTCTTTAAGCCCATGTTAGGCCACCCTTGTTTCTTCTTAACAGAGAGAAATCACAATCCTTCAACTCATGGGCATCAGAGGTCATGTACTTCCCCCTTGGGTACCTCCAGTGAGAAATCTGGGAGACATAGTCAATACAGCCTGGGATTCTGGCAGTCTGGGCTTTGGGAAGGGAAGTCACTTCCCATTTCCCATGGGAAACCTTGGCCCTAGGAGAAGCTCAAGGACAACATTCTCACCAAAGCCTCTGCCCTGCCGAGGGTTGGCATGCAGCAGTTGGGAATGCTGATGGTACACGCATCAGGCCCTCCCATTCCTCAGGTCATCTCTTTCCTCTCCCTCTGGCCCATGGGGTGAGGCCTGACTTAACCTCTTTCTCTTTCCTATGATTAAGGACACAGAAGACACTAGAAATGAGGGTGAGACTGGCTTTATTCTGACTTAGCCATGTCCCTTACCAAGATTCCCACATTTTCTTATTTGCAGCAGCTATAAGAGGAGAATCTGTTCCTTCCTCTGAGGTCCCTGAGGACCCTGTTACATGTTAAGAACCACATCTTGGCCTGACAAGCCCTTTGGTATAACTGGTCCAGCCAAGGATGGGAGCAAGAGGGTGGAGGGATTTGGCTGATCTGCCTGTCACACAGGATTGCAGATAGGACTTACTCGGAGTTGCTCTTATCAGGAACTCCAGTGTCAGGTGGGAGTCACATTTCTTCTAGATATAGAGACCTCATGTGGAAGCCCAGTGGAGAGCTCAGACAGAAGCTGAGTGCTGTGGCTGCAGTGGGTTAAGGGTAACTCTCAGGTCACTTCCTCTCCAAGCCCCAGTTCTTGTAGGTCAGTTCTTGTAGGTGCCCTGGACAAATTCCAGGGCTCCGGAGCAATTCAAAAACAGAGATTCCAAGCCAGTATCTTACTTAAAGGGTAATATTAGAAGCATTTCCACTAGTGTGAAAAACAAGGCAAGTATGCCCTCCATCCCCACTGCTGTTCAATGTCATACTGGAGGTAGTAGCCAATGCAATTAGAGAAGAGAAATCAATTAGAGGCATAATAATGAGAAAAGTTATTTTTGCATCCCTCTCCTGGAGTTCTGTATAGGATACATGTAGACATATCAGAATCAGAGTGAGTATGTTGGTACAGAAATATTTCCTCCACAAGCAGCCCTTTAGAATTGAAGAACTCAGTGCCAGACAGGTTTCTTGACTTTCCCAAAGTTACACAGCAAGACAATATCCAGATCAGGAGTGATGGCTTCTCAGCAGATCCTAGTTTACTTTTAGCCCATGAGTGTCCTCAGAGGAGGTCTAATTTTATATATATATATTTTTTTTTTTGATTTTGTTTTTCATCTTCTACAATTGGCAAATGCAGAGACTACCACCACAAATACCGAGTCTACTGTTGTGACAGATAATCAGTAATTTTGAGTCTGTTTCTGTTATGTCATGATGCCAACTATATCCATGGGCTTTACTGTTATTCAGGAAAAGTTTTAGGGAATGGGATGGGAGGGAATGTTGTGAGTACACAGTGACCTGGATCCCAGAGGTCAGCTAGAGTGAAGCTTCCTTCATTGCCCATGCTCCTGGGAGTAGGGAGAAATCAGTCAGAATGTGGCATCTCCAAGAGCCTGTGTGCTTTGGAAGCAGAGACCAGTGGGATCAGTCTCCAGTTCAGAGTGACAACCCAGCTCCCCCATCTCCACAGCTCTGTGCTGACCCCAGCCATCCTGGCCCTGAGGAAGGCTATAAGGCCAGGAAGATCACATGCAAAATGTGCTCCAAGCCAACCTTAGAGCTACAGATACACATCAGAGCTCCTTCCAGGACATCCTGATGTCATCACGCTGCTCTTCAGTGTGGGATGTTATGTGTCCCCTGTCTGAGTGAATCAGGCAGAGCCCATGGTCTGCTTAGAGAAGGGTCTTGTGTATCTCTAGGCCCCTTCCAGGATGCAGATTAGGTGGAGTCTTTTATTCTCCTCCAGCAGAAGCTCTAAGACTTGGGTTTGGGCCAAGCAGTCACTGTCCTCTTCCCCATGAAGAACTCTAACCTTAAGGCACGTTAGAGCCCAGCCTAGTTAGAGATTCTCTCAAAGATATTTGCCTATGGGAAAGACCCTGAATGCCCTGCAGGCCCTGAGACCTTGTCTCTCAGTAGGAGTGTACAAGAGAAATTCTGTGCCTTCCTCTAGGATCTGATTATGATTTGGCCCTGAGACTGGTGAATGGAGATGGCAGGTGTCAGGGCCGGGTGGAGGTCCTGTATCAAGGCTCCTGGGGCACCGTGTGTGATGACAGCTGGGACACCAATGATGCCAACGTGGTCTGCAGGCAGCTGGGTTGTGGCTGGGCCATGTTAGCTCCAGGAAATGCCTGGTTTGGCCAGGGCTCAGGACCCATTGTCCTGGATGACGTGCGCTGCTCAGGGTACGAGTCCTACCTGTGGAGCTGCCCCCACAATGGCTGGCTCTCCCATAACTGTGGCCATAGTGAAGATGCTGGTGTTATCTGCTCAGGTGGGCATCAAAGATCTCTGGAGGGTCAGGTGTGGTGGCTCACAACTGTAATCCCAGCACTTTGGGAGGATGAGGCAGGCAGATTGCTTGAGCTCAGGTGTTCAAGACCAGTTCTGGGCAAGATGGCAAACCCCGTCTCTATTAAAAAAAGAAAATCACTTGGGCCCATTCTGGGGACAGACTGTATTCAGAGAATATAGTGACAAACAGGTTTCTCACTCCAGGGCCCCCGCCCAAGGCTTTCCTGGTTATCTGGTGGCTCTGGAGTTTAGTTGGGGCAACTGGCCTGTGGGTACAATGCCATGGTCAGCACGGATCCCCAAGCTGCAAGCAGTGCCCCAACATTGGTTTGGAGGTGACTGAGGCACCGGTGTTCAGACACAGGGTCCAGCATGCTGACATCAGAAATAACGAGCTTTTTATTCTGCTCTAGGAATGTCCGCATAACTCATACCCCTGTTTTCCCCGATGCTCCTTCTCAGGGATGGCATGTTTCAGGGACCTGGTTGGTGAAACCTCCCCTCCCCTTGAACACCGTATTACCTTGAGTGCTGTCAGCCACTGACCCAGAGGGAAGGATGCATTTGTAAATAGTTCACTTATGATTGCTGTGAAGAGAGGCAGGGAAGTGGGGTAAGGGTGGGAGGATGTCAGTGAGTCACAAATGGTGGGCTCACATGCGAGCTCAGCGTGGGGAGCAGGGGGACCTCCCAGAGGATCACCAAGAATCCACGTCAAACCTCAGACTCATTGCCGCTCAAGGGTGGAGAGTTAGGGTCTTCATCCACTCATTGCTTAGGGTGGCTGTTTGCTGCTCCCTGGGTGTTGATACTGAGGTTGTTGTGGCCAGTCCCAGGCACCGAAGTGACCTTCATATCCCTGGAGAGTGAGCCGCAGGCACAGAGACGGAGGCAATGCCGGGGACTGTGGGTTCCCTGAGGGACTGAGGGCTTCACGGTGGGCACTGGCAGGGCCCACTTGGTGGACATGTGATGGGCATCAGCTGAGGGTGTGGCTACCCCAAGTCACTTCAACCTTAACTCTAGTTGGAGTCACTGAGTGTTTGGTGTCTAATGTTGCTATTTTTTTCTCATAGCTGCCCAGCCTCAGTCGACGCTCAGGCCAGTTGAGTCCCCAGAATCCTTCCTCGGGATACCCTTTTCTGCTTGGTTACCCCTTCCCCAATCCACAGAGCCTTCCTGCTTCTCTGCAGATACTCTCGGGCATGTTATTTTCACCCCAGCTCTATAACTGAGACCCTAGCATGGTGCTTCTTAAGCACACGTAGGATTCAGCTTCTGCCTTCTCTTCAATCCATCTCAGCTTTCATCATATAGTTCCATGCTGTCCCAATGGAAAACCCTTACAGGTTCAGAAAGAAGCCACCTGTTTAATGAGCTTTGGCCCCTTTATGTTCTGGGCTGACATAACCTTTCTGAGAATTGAGGGTGAGACCCTCTAATGTTCTGTTGAAGGCAAGGTCAGTATAGGCCTGATACCCGCATCTCTCACTACTTGAAAGACCCTTGAAAGACCCCCAGATTCTGCAGGGCCATGTCTGCATTCAGAAGAGGCAGAGGCCATGCTCAGGTGAGAGAGAGGCTAAGAAATGTTTCTGGTGCCTTCACTTACCAGGAAACCTGATATCCCCCGGGTGGGCCCGCTAGTCCCCCGAATATTTTAGCTGCAAGTGTCAAGACTTGGCAGTGGTGTCAGATGAGTCAGACAGTCCGTGTGTCAGTGGATGGTGGGGGATGGAGGTGGCGAAGGTTTCCTAATTGAGAAGAGGTCATCCTTGTCTCAGAGAGAGATGGAAGGGCCTGCATGGTGTCCTTTGTCCCTGAATGAGTTCTGTGGGCAGGAGACCTGGGCAGACACATGGGGAGCAAGTGGCTGGACCTGGGAGTGGAATTGTTTTCACAACCATGTCCTAGGAAATGCCCGGTTTGGCCAGGGCTCAGGACCCATTGTCCTGGATGACGTGTGCTGCCTGGTCCAGAGAACTGCTTGTTTTTTACCTTTTTCCCTTCAAATCCAATTGTATCCTTTCTCTTTGTTGCTGTTTACAGACAGTTGGCCTGTCAGGACATCACCTGTACCCACAGAAGGTAAAGAATCCTCTCAACACTCCCTGGGGCTCACTTTCTACCTCTGCATACACTTCGGAGTTCATAGTTCACTTATGATTGCCATGAAGAGAGGTGGGGAAGTAGGCTAAGGGTGGGAGGATGGCAGCAGGTGATAAACAGTTGGCTCAACAGTGAGCTGGGCACTAGGAACAGGAGTAGGACCTCCCAGAAGATCATTAGGAATCATTAGGCTCACGATAGGATAAGGCTCAAGGTGGGCCCCTGCTTCTTCACGTTTCTGTGGGTTGGGTAGGGAGGAAGCTGGAGTCTCTGAAGACCCAGAACTAGATGTGATGTTGGAGAGTGGAGGGTGCTGGTGACCTATCTCCTGTGGGATCCTGTTCCAAGTGGTCAGGAAAGATCCTCATCTGTGTGCTCAGGACAAGCCTTGGGGGTCTCCCTAATCCTACGGGGACCTCATCCCTGCCATCTCTGGTACTTTCCCAGTCAGCCAGACAGGACCATGCTCCTGAATAAGGGAGGGGTCTGGGCCTGCCATCTGCAGCTGAGAAGCTCCATCCTCTGTGTACCCAACTAGATAGTGGGATATCCATTCCTATCACCTCCACTGGGGTCACAGGTGCTTCCCCAGAAGTTGAGCATCCATAGACCTGGGCAGAGTAGGCTGTCAGTGCTACTTTCACTATAATTAAGCCTAATCTCTGGCTTCATTATGCAAAGGTGACTGCCTGCCTGGGTGACTTAGTTCATTAGGAAATGCCCTGAGTGTGGAACTTGCCCTAGATTGTTAGGGGTCTAGGCCTGCCATTTGTAGCTGTGTAGCTCCATCCTGTCTGCCCCCAGAGTGGGGAGTGGGGTGTCCATTCCTGGCCCCTCCTCTGGGATGTCATACATGCTTACCCATAACTTGAGCTTTTATAGACTTGAGTAGAATAGGGCATCACTTTTTCCACTATGACAAAGCTTAACCTCTGGGTATGGTAATCTTCAGTCGTGACTGCGTGTCCTGGTGACATTGGCATTTGTATTCAAACTTGACTACTTTGCCTACTGCTCTGAGTGTTGTACATGCCTTATCCTTGACCTCATCATAGAGATGGATGAAGGGTTCTTGTGTTCCCCTGTAGGATCTGAATCCAGTTTGGCCCTGAGGCTGGTGAATGGAGGTGACAGGTGTCAGGGCCGAGTGGAGGTCCTATACCGAGGCTCCTGGGGCACCGTGTGTGATGACTCCTGGGACACCAGTGACGCCAATGTGGTCTGCAGGCAGCTGCGCTGTGGCTGGGCCACGTCAGCCCCAGGAAATGCCCGGTTTGGCCAGGGCTCAGGACCCATTGTCCTGGATGACGTGCGCTGCTCAGGACAGGAGTCATACCTGTGGAGCTGCCCCCACAATGGCTGGCTCTCCCACAACTGTGGCCATAGTGAAGACGCTGGTGTCATCTGCTCAGGTGGGTCTCCAAGACCTTGGGCTCCCTCTCTTGGAGTAGATTTTGCTCAAGAAGCAAGATCTCATGATGCTCTGATCTCCTCACTCAGAGCTTTTTCAACCTTTCCTATATTTCTAATATCTCCTTAGCTCTCTGCTAGGAAACAGCGTGAGTATTCATTGCCAGGTTTTGAGGAGGTCAGGCAGGACAATGGCCAAAGTGAAATAAGGGTCACACCTTTGTTCACCGAAGCAGCACAAGCAGAGGGAGAAGACGAAAGCGCCAGGTCTTTGCCTTTTAGTGTGGCTGGAAAGGAATAGCTTGGGCAGGTTTGTTCAGCTCAGCTTCTGCTGAGGGCCTCGGGCTACTTGTACTCCTGGCAGAAGAGGATGGGGAACTGGCCTGGGCAGAGGTCACATGGTGAGGGAGGAAGCAAGAGAGGGCAAGAGGGAAGGCCCAGGCTCTTTTCAACCACCAGCTCTTGCTAGGAACTAAGAGAAGAACTCATCCCTCACCAGGAGGGCAGTAAGTTATTCATGAAGGGTGGGTCTCCATGACCCAGACATGGCGCATCAGGCCTCAACTCTAAACTTGGGGATCCAATTGCAATATGACACTTGGACGTGACAAGCCTCCAAAGTATAGCACTCTGGTTCTCCAGGGTTCCAACTTTCCCCTACTGAAAGATTTTGCATAAGGGTTACGTGGATGAAGCACATATAGGGGATGGGGGAGGGACTGTCTCACTGGAAGGAGCCCAGAACCAAAGGCTCCTGCTAGGAACTGCGGTCTTCTGCTTAGGCCCAATAAGGTGGTGTCTTAATAGAGACACAAGGCTAGGAGTGCAGATCTGTGTCTGTCCGTGTCTGGTCTGGGATTTGGGCACTGTGAGTCCTTGACCACAACTCCCTCCAGAGCACTGCAGTGTTGTGCCTGTGCACCAGTCTGGTGTGGAGTGTGCAGTTCCCATGAGGTCTGCTGGGCAAAGCCTTATTATGAATGCCTGTTGGCTGGGCTGGAAGATCACAGGCAAGACTTTGGCTGGAGTGGCCTCCTCACATTTTTTGACTCAGGGACTGCTAAGATGTGCAAGGGAGAGTGTTGGTTTTGTGTCAACCTGATTACTATTGGCAGACACAAAGTTAATCACTTTGGAGTTGGCAATAGTGGACAGGATCTGCCTAGACACCTTCCAAGGAGCATCTCTGTGGGGATGTGCATGGCAATACCCCTCCCTCTGTGATGGAGACCTAGGGTGGACTGAAGGCATGACCTGTTTAGTTCCTTCCACCTTTGTTCTGGTTTTGCCATCTTCGTAGTGCATCTGATCTGACCTCCTCTTTCTCACAGCTGCCCAGTCCTGGTCGACGCCCAAGCCAGGTGATTCCCCAGTGTCCTTCCTTGGGATGTCCCTCTTCTTTCTGCACAATTATCCCTTTCTGCACTCCACAGAGCCCTCATTCTTCTCAGAGTGGATACTTCAGGGCATATGATTTTCCCTTGCTCTGTAACTGAGACCCCAGCATGGCACTTCTAAACCAGACCTAGGGTTCAGGAGGCTTCTGTCTTCTGTTCCATTTATCTCAGCTTTCGTGAAGCAGTTTCATATTGTCCCAATGACCAACCCTTAGAGGTTTAGAAAGTGGCCTCATATTTAATTAGCTTTGGTCCTTTTCTATTCAGAGCTGATATGACCTTCCTGAGAATTGAGTGATTGCCAAAGTCTCCTGGGAAGCCAATATCAGTCAATAAATATGACTTCTGCCATGGGCAAGCAATGTCAGTGCAGGCCTAATACCTCCATTCCTCACTCCTTCAAACACCTCAGATTCTGCAGGGCCACATCTGCATCTAGAAGAGGCATAGGCCATGCTCGGGCAGGGAGAGGGATAATAAATATTTCTGGCAATTCCACGTACCAGGAAACTTGATACCCCTTGGTTAGCTCCTTGGTTCCCCTAACATTTTAGCTCGAACTAGTAGAGTCTCAGCAATGGTGTCAAATATGCCTGTTAGTCCATGTGTCAGTGCATGGAACAGGCTAACCCTTTGTGACTGAGAAGAGGACATCCCACACTTCAGAGATAGGAGGGATCGAACTAGTCTTCCATCAGGCCTATGTCCCTTGCCGAGCTTGTTGAGCTGAAGACTTGGGCAGACACATAGGGAACAAGTGGCAGGAACCAGAAGTGGGGTAGTTTTCATGATGCTTGCCTTGTCCGGAGACCTTTCCTTTTGGGGCTTTTCATCCTCAGGTTTAACTCTAGCCTTTGTTTTTGTTGCAATTTATAGACGCGTTGCCAACCACCACCTTACCGGCATCGACAGTAGATAAATAGTCCTCTCACTCCTCCCTAGGGCTCGCTCTCTACCTCTGGACAAATGTTTTGTCTGAAAATGATAGAATGAGGGTCAAGGAGGGCCCCTCTCTTTTTCATGTCCCTGCGGGTTGCGGGGGAGGAAGGTAGAGTCTGTGGGGACCCAGCTCTGGGTCTGATGTTGGAGGCTGGAGGTTGCTGGTGACTTGTCTCCTGTGGAATCCTGTTCCAACTGGTCAGGAAAGATCTTCATCCAGGTGCTGAGGAAAAGCCCTGGAGGATTCCCTAATCCTACTAAGACCTCATTCCTGTCCCTCAGCCCATGCATTGCAGAGGTGTGAAAAGTCAGTGAAAGTGACTGTCCCCGCACCTGTCTGGCCAAGGCCTTGTCATACCTGTGAAATTTTCAGAAGCCAGAAAGGACCATAGAATTGCCACCAAGCTCCTGAGCATGGGGAGGGTCTCGCCTGCCAACTGTAGCTGTGTAGCTCTGTCCTGGGTGTGCCCAAGTTAGGGAATGGAGTATCCATTCCTTTTAACTCCAGTGGGATCACAGGTGCTTCCCCAAAACTTGAGCCTTCATAAACCCAGACAGAAAAGGGTGTCACTGCTCCTTCAACTTTGATGAAGCTGAATCTCTGGTTGCAGTCATATTCAAAGGTGACTGCCTGCTCAGGTGACTTTAGCCATTAGGATGTGCCTTGAGTGTGGAACATTCCTTAGATCCTTGACCTCCTGATAGGGATGGATGAAGGGTTCTTCTGTTCCCCTGTAGGACCTGAATCCAGTTTGGCCCTGAGGCTGGTGAATGGAGGTGACAGATGTCAGGGCCGAGTGGAGGTCCTATACCGAGGCTCCTGGGGCACTGTGTGTGATGACAGCTGGGACACCAATGATGCCAGTGTGGTCTGCAGGCAGCTGGGCTGTGGCTGGGCCACATCAGCCCCAGGAAGTGCCCGGTTTGGCCAGGGCTCAGGACCCATTGTCCTGGATGATGTGCGCTGCTCAGGGAATGAGTCGTACCTGTGGAACTGCCCCCACAATGGCTGGCTCTCCCACAACTGTGGCCATCATGAAGACGCTGGTGTCATCTGCACAGGTGGGTCTCCAAGACTTTGGGTCTCCTCTCTTGGGGTAGATTTTGCTCAGGAAATGAGGTCTTAATATGTTCTAATCTCCTCACTCAGAGCTTTTTCAATATTTCCTATATTTCTGATATCTCCTTAGCTCTCTCCTAGGAAACTGCGTGAGTCTTTACCACATTGCCAGGTTTTGAGGAGGTCAGAGAGGACAATGGGCCAAAGTGAAATAAGGGTCACACCTTTGTTCACTGAGGCAGCACAAGCAGAGGGAGAAGACAAAAGCACCAGGTCTTTGCCTTTTAGTGTGGCTGGAAAGGAATAGCTGGGGCCAGGTTGTTCATGAAGATAGAGGTTGATTTGAGTCGTGACTTTGCAGGCTGCATAGGAGCATGGTGCAGGCATCTGCTCAGCTTTTGCTGTGGGCCTCAGGCTGCTTGTACTCCTGGTAGAAGGGGATGGGGAGCTGGCTTGGGCAGAGGTCACATGGTGAGGGAGGAAGCAAGAGAGAGCAAGAGGGAGGGCCCAGACTCTTTTCAACCACCAGCTCTTGCTAGGAACTAAGAGAAGAACTCATCCCTGACCAGGGAGGTCACTAAGTGATTCATGAAGTGTTGGCCTCTATGACCCAGACGTGGGACATCAGGCCTCACCTGTATACTTGGGGATCCAATCCCAACATGAGTCTTGGAGGGGACAAGCATCCAAACTATAGCATGCTGGCTCTCCAGGGTTCTGCCTTTCCCCTACTGAAAGGTTTAAGTGAGGGTGAGGTGGATGCAGCACATATAGGCATTGGTGGAGGGATGGTCTCACTGGGAGGAGCCCAGAAGCAAAGGCTTATGCTGGGAAGGGAGGGTCTTCTGCTGAGGACCAATAAGGAGGCATCAGACTGGAAACACAAGGCTGGGAGTGCAGTTTTGTGACTGTCCATGACTGTCCATGTCTGGCCTGCTTGACTGCAATTCCCTCCAGAGCACTGCAGTGTCCTGCCTGTGCACCAGTCAGGTGTGGTGGTGGTGGGGTGGTGGCAATGTCCATGAGGCCTGCTGAGCAAAGCCTTGTTATGAATGCCTGTGGGCTGGGCTAGGAGATGACAGGCTGGATTTTTGCTGGAGTGCCTCTTCATACTTGCTGATGCAGGGACTACTAACATGTGCAAGGGAGAGGGTTGGTTTTGTGTCAACCTGATTGCTATGGGCAGACACAAAGTCCTTCAAACATCCCCAGATGCATCAGGGCCCCATCTACATCCAGAAAGGCAGAGGCCATGCTTGGGCAGGGAGAGAGATATTACATATTTCTGGTGCCTCCACTTGCTAGGAGACTTTATACTCCTTTGGGCAGCTCCCTGATCCTTCTAACACTTTAGCTCCAAAGGTCAGAGGCTCATCAATGGTGTCAGATATGCCCATTAGTCCATATGTCAGTGGATGGGGCAGGCAAACCCTTTGAACCTGAGAAGAGGATATCCCACACTTCAGAGGCTGGAGGGACCAGACTGGTCTCCAGTGAGGCCTGTGTCCCTTGCAGTGCTCACTGGGCTGAAGACATGGGCAGACGCATGGGGAGCAAGTGACAGGAACCAGAAATTGAGTAGGTTTCATGATGCTTGCCATGTCCGGAGACTTTTCCTTTTGGAGCTTTTCACCCTCAAGTTTAATTCTAGCCTTTGTCTTTGTTGCAATTAAAGACGCGTTGCCGACCACCACCTTACCTGCATTGACAGTAGGTAAATAATCCTCTCAACCCTTCCTAGGGCTCACTCTCTACCTCTGGACAAATGTTTTTTTCTGGAAAGGATAGGATGAGGGTCAAGGTGGGCCCCTGTGTTTTTCATGCCTTGTGTATTAGTGGGAGGAAGTTGGAGTCTCTGGGGAGCCAGTCCTGGTTCTGGTGTTGGAGGCTGGAGGGTGCTGGTGACCTGTCTCCCACGGGATCCTCTTCCAAGTATCAGGAAAGATCCTCATCCACGTGCTGAGGACAAGTCCTGGAGGACTCCCTACATCCTAATGGGACCTCGTTCCTGGCCCTCCGGCCATGCATTGCAGACCTGCAAGGGTGGGTGACAGTTCCTGTCCCTGCAGCTGTCTGGCCAAGGCCTTGCCATCCTTGGCAATTTGCCAGAAACCAGGGAGGACCACATGGGTGCCACCTAACTCTTGAACATGGGGACAGCATGGGCCTGACCTCTGGAGCTGTGACACTCCATCCTGTGTGTGCCCAGAGTAGGGAGTAGGGCGCCTACTCCTGTCACCTCCACTGGGGTCACAGATGCTTCCCCAAAACTTGATCCTCCATAAACCCAGGCAGGATAGCATATCACCTCTCCTTCCACTGTGATGAAGCTGAACCTCTGGTTGCAGTCATACTCAGTCGTGACTGCCTGCCCAGGTGACTTTGGCATTAGGAAGTGCCCTGAGTGTGGAATGTGCCTTAGATCCTTGACCTCCTGATAGGAATGGATGAAGAGTTCTTGTGTTCCCCTGTAGGACCTGAATCCAGTTTGGCCCTGAGGCTGGTGAATGGAGGTGACAGGTGTCAGGGCCGAGTGGAGGTCCTATACCGAGGCTCCTGGGGCACCGTGTGTGATGACAGCTGGGACACCAATGATGCCAATGTGGTCTGCAGGCAGCTGGGCTGTGGCTGGGCCACATCAGCCCCAGGAAATGCCCGGTTTGGCCAGGGCTCAGGACCCATTGTCCTGGATGACGTGCGCTGCTCAGGCTACGAGTCCCACCTGTGGAACTGCCCCCACAATGGCTGGCTCTCCCACAACTGTGGCCATAGTGAAGACGCTGGTGTCATCTGCTCAGGTGGGTCTCCAAGACTTTGGGTCTCCTCTCTTGGGGTAGATTTTGCTCAGGAAGCAAAGTCTTAATATGTTCCAATCTCCTCACTCAGAGCTTTTTCAACCTTTCCTGTATTTCTGATATCTCCTTAGCTCTCTCCTAGAAAACTGCATGAGTCCTTGCCACATTGCCAGGTTTTGAGGAGGTCAGAAAGGACAATGGGCCAAAGTGAAATAAGGGTCATACCTTTGTTCACCGAGGCAGCACAAGCAGAGGGAGAAGACGAAAGCACCAGGTCTTTGCCTTTTAGTGTGGCTGGAAAGGAATAGCTGGGGCCAGGTTGTTCATGAAGATAGAGGTTGATTTGGGTTGTGGCTTTGCAGGCTACATAGGAGCATGGTGCAGGCATCTGCTCAGTTTTTGCTGCGAGCCTCAGACTGCTTTTACGCCTGGCAGAAGGGGATGGGGAGCTGGCTTGGGCAGAGGTCACATGGTGAGGGAGGAAGCAAGAGAGAGCAAGAGGGAGGGCCCAGACTCTTTTCAACCACCAGCTCTTGCTAGGAACTAAGAGAAGAACTCATCCCTGACCAGGGAGGTCACTAAGTGATTCATGAAGGGTTGGCCTCCATGACCCAGACATGGGACATCAGGCCTCACCTGTATACTTGGGGATCCAATCCCAACATGAGTCTTGGAGGGGACAAGCATCCAAACTATAGTACGCTGGCTCTCCAGGGTTCTGCCTTTCCCCTACTGAAAGGTTTAGGTGAGGATGAGGTGGATACAGCACATATAGGCATTGGTGGAGGGATGGTCTCACTGGGAGGAGCCCAGAAGCAAAGGCTCATGCTGGGAAGGGAGGGTCTTCTGTCGAGGACCAATAAGGAGGCATCAGACTGGAAGCACAAGGCTGGAAATGCAGTTTCGTGACTGTCCATGTCTGGCCTGGGTTTTGGGGGTGTGAGTGCTTGACTATAATTCCCTCCAGAGCACTGCAGTGTCTTCCGTGTGCACCAGTCAGGTGTAGGTCAGACAGTGCCCATAAGGCCTGCTGAGCAAAGCCTTGTTATGAATGCCTGTGGGCTGGGCTAGGAGATGACAGGCTGGATTTTTGCTGGAGTGGCCGCTTCATACTTGCTGATGCAGGGACTACTAACACGTGCAAGGGTGAGGGTTGGTTTTGTGTCTTCCTGATTGCTATGGGCAGACACAAAGTCCTTCAAACACCCCCAGATGCGTCAGGGCCCCATCTACATCCAGAAAGGCAGAGGCCATGCTCAGGCAGGGAGAGAGATATTATATATTTCTGGTGCCTCCACTTGCTAGGAGAATTTATACTCCTTTGGGCAGCTCCCTGATCCTTCTAACACTTTAGCTCCAATGGTCGGAGGCTCAGCAATGGTGTCAGATGTGCCCATTAGTCCATGTGTATCGGGAGAACCTGCTCCCAATGTTTAATGTGGGTTCTTTTTATTTCCTAAGTGTCTCGGCTGGGTTGGGAAATAAAGGGAAAGAGCACAGAGAGAAATTTAAAGCTGGGTGTCCGGGGGAGACATCACATGTCAGCCGGATCCGTGATGTTCCCTGAGCCATAAAACCAGCAAGTTTTTATTAGCGATTTTCAAAAGGGGAGGGAGTGCACGAATAGGGTGTGGGTCACAGAGATCACATACTTCACAAGGTAATAAAATATCACAGAGCAAATGCAGGCAGGGCAAGATCACAGGACCACCGGATGAGGAGAAATTAAAATTGCTAATGAAGTTTCGGGCACGCATTGTCATTGATAACATCTTATCAGGAAACAGGGTTTGAGAGCAGACAACCTGTCTGACCACAAATTATTAGGTGGGAATTTTCCTCCACCTAATAAGCCTGGGAGCGCTACAGGAGTCCGGGGCTTATTTCATCCCTTTGGCTTCAACCACAAAAGATGGAAGGCCTTAAAAGGGGTCATCTATAAGCCTACCTTCAGGGCGCATTCTCTTTCTCAGGGATGTTCCTTGCTGAGAAAAAGAATTCAGCAATATTTCTCCTATTTGCTTATGAAAGAGGAGAAATATAGCTCTGTTCCGTCTGGCTCTCCGGCAGCCAGTTCAAAGTTACCTCTCTCGCTCCCTGAATCTCACTGTTATCCTGTTTTTTTTTTTTTTTTTAAGATGCCCAGATTACATATTGTTCAAACACACACGCTCTACAAACAATTTGTGCAGTTGATACAATCCCAGGGTCCTGAGGTGACATTCATCCTCCTCAGTTTATGAAGAAGATGACAGGATTAAGAGATTAAACTGAAGACAGGAATCGGAAAACACAAGGGTATTGATTGGGGAAGTGATAAGTGTCCATGAAATCTTCACAATTTATGTTCAGAGATTACAGTAAAGACAGGTGTAAGAAATTATAAAAGCATTAATTTGGGGAACTAATAAATGTCCGTGAAATCTTCACAATTTATGTTCTTCTGCCGCAGCTTCAGCCGGTCCCTCTGTTCAGGGTCCCTGACTTCCTGCAACACATGTGTCAGTGGATGGGGCAGGCAAACCCAGAGGTCAGAGGGATCAGATTGGTCTCCAGTGAGGCCTGTGTCCCTTGCTGAGCTCACTGGGCTGAAGACTTGGGCAGACACATGGGGAGCAAGTGACAGGAACCAGAAATTGAGTAGTTTTCATGATGCTTGCCATGTCCGGAGACTTTTCCTTTTGGAGCTTTTCACCCTCAAGTTTAATTCTAGCCTTTGTCTTTGTTGCAATTAAAGACACGTTGCCGACCACTACCTTACCTGCATTGACAGTAGGTAAATAATCCTCTCAACCCTTCCTAGGGCTCACTCTCTACCTCTGGGAAAATGTTTCTTCTGGAAAGGATAGGATGAGGGTCAAGGTGGGCCCCTGTGTTTTTCATGTCCTTGTGTATTAGTGGGAGGAAGTTGGAGTCTCTGGGGAGCCAGTCCTGGTTCTGGTGTTGGAGGCTGGAGGGTGCTGGTGACCTGTCTCCCACGGGATCCTCTTCGAAGTATCAGGAAAGATCCTCATCCAGGTGCTGAGGACAAGCCCTGGAGGACTCCCTACATCCTGATGGGACCTCGTTCCTGGCCCTCCGGCCATGCATTGCAGACCTGCAAGGGTGGGTGACAGTTCCTGTCCCTGCAGCTGTCTGGCCAAGGCCTTGCCATCCTTGGCAATTTGCCAGAAACCAGGGAGGACCACATGGGTGCCACCTAACTCTTGATCATGGGGACAGCATGGGCATGCCCTCTGGAGCTATGGCACTCATTCCTGTGTGTGCCCAGAGTAGGGAGTAGGGCACTATTCCTGTCACCTCCACTGGGGTCATAGGTGCTTCCTGAAAACTTGATCCTCCATAAACCCGGGCAGGATAGCATATCACCTCTCCTTCCACTGTGATGAAGCTGAACCTCTGGTTGCAGTCATACTCAATCGTGACTACTTGTCCAGGTGACCTTGGCCATTAGGAAGTGCCCTGAGTGTGGAATGTGCCTTAGATCCTTGACCTCCTGATAGGGATTGCTGAAGGGTTCTTGTGTTCCCCTGTAGGACCTGAATCCAGTTTGGCCCTGAGGCTGGTGAATGGAGGTGACAGGTGTCAGGGCCGAGTGGAGGTCCTATACCGAGGCTCCTGGGGCACCGTGTGTGACGACAGCTGGGACATCAATGATGCCAGTGTGGTCTGCAGGCAGCTGGGCTGTGGCTGGGCCACATCAGCCCCAGGAAATGCCCGGTTTGGCCAGGGCTCAGGACCCATTGTCCTGGATGATGTGCGCTGCTCAGGGGATGAGTCGTACCTGTGGAACTGCCCCCACAATGGCTGGCTCTCCCACAACTGTGGCCATAGTGAAGACGCTGGTGTCATCTGCTCAGGTGGGTCTCCAAGACTTTGAGTTTCCTCTCTTGGGGTAGATTTTGCTCAGGAAGTGAGGTCTTAATATATTCTAATCTCCTCACTCAGAGCTTTTTCAACCTTTCCTGTATTTCTGATATCTCCTTAGCTCTCTCCTAGGAAACTGCATGAGTCCTTGCCACATTACCAGATTTTGAGGAGTTCAGGGAGAAAAATGGGCCAAAGTGTAATAAGGGTCACGTCTTCGTTCACCTACTGAGGCAGCGCAAGCAGAGAGAGAAGAGGAAAGTGCTGGGTCTTTGCATTTTAGTGTGGCTGGAAAGGAATAGCTGGGGTCAGGCTGTTCATGAAGATAGCGGTTGATTTGGGTCGGGGCTTTGCAGGCTGCATAGAAGCATGATATCTGCTTGGCTTCTGTTGATGGCCTCAGGCTGCTTTAGTTCCTGGCAGAAGGAGATGGGGAGCTGTCCTGGGCAGAGGTCACATGGCCAGTAAAGGAAGCAAGAGAGGGCAAGAGGGAGGGCCCAGACTCTTCAACCACCAGCTCTTGCTAGGAACTAAGAGAAGAACTCACCCTTGACCAGAGAGGGCACTAAGTGATTCATAAAGCGTTGGCCTCCATGACCCAGACATGGCGCATCAGGCCTCACCTCTATACTTCGAGTTTCCAATCCCAAGATGAGTCTTGGATGGGACAAACATCCAATCTATAGCACGCTGTCTCTCCAAGGTTCCGCCTTTCCCCTACTGAAAGGTTTAGGTGACAGTGAGGTGGACGCAGCACATATAGGCGTTGGGGGAGGGTCGATCTCACTGGGAGGAGCCCAGAAGCAAAGGCTCATGCTGGGAAGGGAGGGTCTTCTGGTGAGGCCCAGTAAGCAGGCCTCAGACTGGAAACACAAGGCTTGGAATGCAGATCTGTGTCTGTCCATGTCTGGCCTGGGTTTTGGGAGTGTGAATGCTTGACTGCAATTCCCTCCAGAGAACTGCAGTGTCCTGCCTGTGCACTGGTCAGGTGTGGGGTGGGCAGTGCCCGTGAGACCTGCTGAGCAAAGCCTTGTTCTGAATGACTGTGGGCTGGGCTGGAAGATCATAGGCTGGATTTTTGCTAGAGTGGCCTCTTCATACTTGCTGACTCAGGGACTGCTAAGACATGCAAGGGAGAGAAGGTTGGTTTTGTGTCAACCTGATTACTATGGGCAGACACAAACTTAATCACTTTGGAGCTGGCAGTAGTGGCAGGATCTGCCCAGACATCTTCCAAGGAGCATCCTTGTGGGGACATGCATGGCAATGCCCCTCCCTCTTGATGGGGACCTAGCATAGACTGAACGCATGACCTGTTTAGCTCCTTCCACCTTTGTTCCAGTTTTGCCAGCTTCTGTGTAGTGCATCTGATCTGACCTCCTTTCTCACAGCCGCCCAGTCCCATTTGACGCCCAGGTCAGGTGATTCCCCAGTGTCCTTCCTTGGGATATCCCTTTTCTTTCTGCACAATTGTCCTTTTTCCCACTCTGCAGAGCCCTCCTTCTTATCTGTGGGTCATACTATTTTCCCTGCTCTGTAACTGAGACCCTAGCATGAAGCTTCTTAACCAGACATGGTTAAGAAGATATGATCTTTCTAAGAATTGAGAGTGATTGCCAAAGTCTCCTGGGAAGGCAATGTCAGCTATAGCCTTAAACATGACTGTCCGTGGGCAAGCAATGCCAGTGCAGGCCTGATACCTCCATTCCTCACTCCTTCAAACACCCCCAGATGCGGCAGGGCCCCGTCTACCTCCAGAAAGGCAGAGGCCGTGCTCTGGCAGGGAGAGATATATTAGATATTTCTGGTGCCTCCACTTGCCAGGAGACTTTATACTCCTTTGGGCAGCTCCCCGATCCTTCTAACATTTTAGTTTCAAGTGTGAGAGTCTCAGCAATGGTGTCCAATGTGCCCATCAGTCCATGTGTCTGTGGATGGGGCAGGTAAACCCTTTGTAGCTGAGAAGAGGATATTCCACACTTCAGAGGTAGGAGGGATCAGACTGGTCTCCAGCGAGGCCTATGTCCCTGGCTGTGCTCCTTGAGCTACAGACTTGGGCAGACACCTGGGGAGCAAGTGGCAGGAACCAGAAGTCGAGTAGTTTTCATGATGCTTGCCTTGCCCAGAGACCTTTCCTTTTGGAGTTTTTCACCCTCAACTTTAATTCTAGCCTTTGTCTTTGTTGCAATTTACAGACCTGTTGTCGACCAGCACCTTACCTGCATCGACAGTAGGTAAATAATCCTCTCACCCCTCCCTAGGGCTCACTCTCTACCTCTGGACAAATGTTTTGAATGAAAATGATAGGATGAGGGTCAAGGTGGGCCCTTCTATGTTTCATGTCCCTGTGCATTGAGTGAGAGGAAGTTGGAGTCTCTGGGGAGCCAGTCCTGGGTCAGGTGTTGGAGGCTGGAGGGTGTTGGTGACCTGTCTCCTGTGGGACCCTGTTCCAAGTATCAGGAAATATCCTCATTCAGGTGCTCAGGACAAGCCCTGGAGGGCTCCCTACTCCTGGGACCTCATTCCTAGCCCTCTGGCCATGCATTGCAGACCTGCAAGGATGGGTGACAATTTCCGTCCCTGAAGCTGACTGGCCAAGGCCTTGCCATCCCTGGTAATTTTCCAGAAGTCAGAGAGGACCACGTGGGTGCCACCAAAGTCTTCAACATGGGGACAGCATGGGCCTGGCCTCTGGAGCTGTGGCGCTCCATCCTGTGTGTGCTCAGAGTAGGGAGTGGGGCGTCCATTCCTGTCACCTCCACTGGGGTCACAGGTGCTTCCCCAAAACCTGAGACTCCACAAACCCAGGCAGAATAGGGTATCACCTCTCCTTCCACTGTGATGAAGCTGAACCTCTGGTTGCAGTCATGCTCAATCGTGACTGCTTGTCCAGGTGACCTTGGCCATTAGGAAGTGCCCTGAGTATGGAATGCGCCTTAGATCCTTGACCTCATGGTAGGGATGGATGAAGGGTTCTTGTGTTCCCCTGTAGGATCTGAATCCAGTTTGGCCCTGAGGCTGGTGAATGGAAGTGACAGGTGTCAGGGCCGAGTGGAGGTCCTATTCTGAGGCTCCTGGGGCACTGTGTGTGATGACAGCTGGGACACCAGTGATGCCAATGTGGTCTGCAGGCAGCTGGGCTGTGGCTGGGCCACATCAGCCCCAGGAAATGCCCGGTTTGGCCAGGGCTCAGGACCCATTGTTCTGCATGATGTGCGCTGCTCAGGACACGAGTCCTACCTGTGGAGTTGCCCCCACAGAGGCTGGCTCTCCCATAACTGTGGCCATCATGAAGACGCTGGTGTCATCTGCTCAGGTGGGCCTCCAAGACCTTGGGTTCCCTCTCCTAGACTGGAGTTTGCTTAGGAAGAAAATCCTAATTACATTCTGATCTCCTCATTCAAAGCTTCTTCTATGTTTCCCGTATTTATGCAGTCTTCTTAGCTCTCTGCTAAGAATCTGTATGAATTTCGCTATAGGGCCTGGTGTTCCTGTGGTCACTTAGGACAGGGGACCAAACTCAAACAACCCAGACTTTCTCCCTTTGTTGAGGCAGTGCAAGGAAGAGGCAGAAGAGAAAAGTGCTGGCTCCCCAGGGCCCCCTTTCTCCCCTGCTGAGTAGCACTGGGTGAGGGTATCATGGACGCAGGACAGACAGCAAGGCAGGGGAGGATTCCTCTCGCTGCGAGGAATTCTGAAATAAAAATGCTTGTCTGGAAGTGGGTTCTCAGCTGCGACCCAGTAAGGACGTCTGCAAATAGAGGCTCAAGGGTTAGGAATGTAAATGTGTGTCTCTTCATGTCAGGCCTGGGTTGCGTGGGGTTGGAGTTCTTGACCTCAGCTCCTCTTAGAACGCTGCTGAGCATTGCCTGTGCCCCAGGTCTGGTGTGGGGAGGGCAGCCCACATGAGGCCGGCCAGGCATGGCCTTGTTATTGCCTCTGGTCCGGGCTGGAAGATCACACAAGGGATTTTGGCTGGAGTGGCTTCCTCAGCCTTGTTGACTCAGAAATGCCTAAGACATGCAAGGGAGAGGGTGGGTTTGGGGTCATCCTGGTTACCCTGGGCAGACACAAAGTTAATCACCTCAGAGCTGGCAATAGTGGACAGGATCTGCCTCGACCCTTTACACGGTGCATCTCTGTGGGGATGGCATGGCAATGTCCCTGCCTGTGTGATCGGAACTAGGATGGACTGAGTGTCACACTTGCCCATTTCTTTCCCTCCTCGTTCCAGTTTTGCAGACTTCTGTGTAACGTGCCTGATCTGACCTTCTCTTCTCTTTCTCACAGTTTCCCAGTCCCAGTCGACACCCGGTCCAGGTAAGTTTCCAGTATCCTTCCTCAAAACGTCCCTTCTCTTTCTGCTCAATCACCCCTTCCCCACTCCACAGAGCTCTCCTGTTTCTGTCTGTGGATACTGTGGAGCATATTATTTCTACCCCCAACACCGGCTATGTAACTGAGACCCCAGCACAACGCTTTTTAAACACACGTCAGATTCAGGAGGCTTCTGTCTTCTTTTCAACCCCTCTCACCTTAATGAAACAGTTTCAAACTGTCCCAGTGGACAGACCTTACAGCTTCAGGAATTGGCCTGTGTTTAATCAGCTTTGGTCCTTTTATATTCAGGACTCACGTAGAGTTTCTGAAAATTGAGGGTGTCACCTTCTGAACTGTTCAAGGCATCGTCAGGGCAGGCTCAATACCCCCATCCATCGCTGCTGGAAAAATTCCAAGATTATGATGGGCCGCATTTGTATCCAAAATAGGCAGAGTTTGTGCTGGGGCAGGGAAAGGGATAATAAAGGTTTGTGGTGTCTCTGCTTAGCCAGAAACCTGATTCCTGATTGTCCCCTGGGAAGCCCCTGGTTCCCCTAACATTTTAGCTTCCAGTGTCCGAGCCTCAGCAATGGCGTCTGATATCCTAGTCAGTCCATGCATCAGCAGATGTGGGATGGCATGGTGGGGAGCATCCCCTAACACATAGAAAGATACCTCAGGATTAGAGAAATGGAGGGCTCAGTCTGGTCTCCAGCAGGACCTTTACCCCTGGATGAGTTCACAGCAGAGGAGACCTGGGCAGACACATGGGAAGCAAGTGGCAGGAACAGGAAGTGGAATTGTTTCCAGTTTGATTCCCCCTCCCACGGAACCTTTTGTTCTGGGCCTTTTCCCTTCAAGCCTAATTCTGTCTTTTTTCTTTGTTGCAATTTACAGACACTTGGCTGACCTCACCTGCGTCAACAGCAGGTAAATAATCCTCTCACCCCTCCCTAGGGCTCACTATCTCTGGACATATTTTGTGTTTCAAACTGATAGGATGCGGCTCAAGGTGGGCCCCTCTCTTTCATGTCCCTGTGGGTTGCGTGGGAGGAAGGTGGAGTCTCTGGTGAGCCAGTCCTGGGTCTGATGTTGGAGGCTGGAGGCTGCTGGTGATCTGTCTCTCATGGGACCCTGTTCCAAGTGTTCAGGAATGATCCTCATCCAGGTGCTCAGGACAAGCACTGGAGGGCTCCCTAATCCTGTAGGGACCTCATTCCTGGCCTTCTGACCATGCACTGCAGACCTGCAAAAGTGCGTGAAAATTTCTATCCGTGCAGCTCTCTGGCCATGGCCCCGCTATCCCTGGCAATTTGCCAGAAACCAGAGAGGACAGCATGGGTGCCACCAAACTCTTGAACATGGGGCCAGCATGGGCCTTCCCTTTGAAGCTGTGGAGCTCCATCCTGTGTGTGCCCAGAGTAGGGAGTGGGGATACCATTCCTGTCACCTCCACTGGGGTCACAGATGATTCCCCAAACTCTGAGCCTCCATAAACCCGGGCAGCATAGTACATCCCCTCTCCTTCCCCTGTGATAAAGCTGAACATCAGGTAGCAGTAATATACAATCCCTGATAGGGATGGATGAGGGTTCTTGTGTTCCCCTGTAGGATCTGAATCCAGTTTGGCCCTGAGGCTGGTGAATGGAGGTGACAGGTGTCAGGGCCGAGTGGAGGTCCTATACCAAGGCTCCTGGGGCACCGTGTGTGATGACTACTGGGACACCAATGATGCCAATGTGGTCTGCAGGCAGCTGGGCTGTGGCTGGGCCACATCAGCCCCAGGAAATGCCCGGTTTGGCCAGGGCTCAGGACCCATTGTCCTGGATGATATGCGCTGCTCAGGGCACGAGTCCTACCTGTGGAACTGTCCCCACAGAGGCTGGCTCTCCCACAACTGTGGCCATCATGAAGACGCTGGTGTCATTTGCTCGGGTGGGCCTTCAAGACCTTGGGCTCCCACTCTTAAGTTCCAGTTTGCTCGGGAAGAAAATCCTAATTACATTGTGATCTCCTCACTCAAAGCTTCTTCTATGTTTCCCGTATTTATGCAGTCTTGTTAGCTCTCTGCTAAGAATCTGTATGAATTTCGCTATAGGGCCTGGTGTTCCTGTGGTCACTTAGGACAGGGGACCAAACTCAAACAACCCAGACTTTCTCCCTTTCTTGAGGCAGTGCAAGGAAGAAGCAGAAGAGAAAAGTGCTGGCTCCCCAGGGCCCCCTTTCTCCCCTGCTGAGTAGCACTGGGTGAGGGTATCATGGACGCAGGACAGACAGCAAGGCAGGGGAGGATTCCTCTCGCTGTGAGGAACTTTGAACTAAAAATGCTTGTCTGGAAGTGGGTTCTCAGCTGACGACCCAGTAAGGACGTCTGCAAATAGAGGCTCAAGGGTTAGGAATGTAAATGTGTGTCTCTTCATGTCAGGCCTGGGTTGTGTGGGGTTGGAGTTCTTGACCTCAGCTCCTCTTAGAACGCTGCTGAGCATTGCCTGTGCCCCAGGTCTGGTGTGGGGAGGGCAGCCCACATGAGGCCGGCCAGGCATGGCCTTGTTATTGCCTCTGGTCCGGGCTGGAAGATCACACAAGGGATTTTGGCTGGAGTGGCTTCCTCAGCCTTGTTGACTCAGAAATGCCTAAGACATGCAAGGGAGAGGGTGGGTTTGGGGTCATCCTGGTTACCCTGGGCAGACACAAAGTTAATCACCTCAGAGCTGGCAATAGTGGACAGGATCTGCCTCGACCCTTTACACGGTGCATCTCTGTGGGGATGGCATGGCAATGTCCCTGCCTGTGTGATCGGAACTAGGATGGACTGAGTGTCACACTTGCCCATTTCTTTCCCTCCTCGTTCCAGTTTTGCAGACTTCTGTGTAACGTGCCTGATCTGACCTTCTCTTCTCTTTCTCACAGTTTCCCAGTCCCAGTCGACACCCGGTCCAGGTAAGTTTCCAGTATCCTTCCTCAAAACGTCCCTTCTCTTTCTGCTCAATCACCCCTTCCCCACTCCACAGAGCTCTCCTGTTTCTGTCTGTGGATACTGTGGAGCATATTATTTCTACCCCCAACACCGGCTATGTAACTGAGACCCCAGCACAACGCTTTTTAAACACACGTCAGATTCAGGAGGCTTCTGTCTTCTTTTCAACCCCTCTCACCTTAATGAAACAGTTTCAAACTGTCCCAGTGGACAGCCCTTACAGGTTCAGGAATTGGCCTGTGTTTAATCAGCTTTGGTCCTTTTATATTCAGGACTCACGTAGAGTTTCTGAAAATTGAGGGTGTCACCTTCTGAACTGTTCAAGGCATCGTCAGGGCAGGCTCAATACCCCCATCCATCGCTGCTGGAAAAATTCCAAGATTATGATGGGCCGCATTTGTATCCAAAATAGGCAGAGTTTGTGCTGGGGCAGGGAAAGGGATAATAAAGGTTTGTGGTGTCTCTGCTTAGCCAGAAACCTGATTCCTGATTGTCCCCTGGGAAGCCCCTGGTTCCCCTAACATTTTAGCTTCCAGTGTCCGAGCCTCAGCAATGGCGTCTGATATCCTAGTCAGTCCATGCATCAGCAGATGTGGGATGGCATGGTGGGGAGCATCCCCTAACACATAGAAAGATACCTCAGGATTAGAGAAATGGAGGGCTCAGTCTGGTCTCCAGCAGGACCTTTACCCCTGGATGAGTTCACAGCAGAGGAGACCTGGGCAGACACATGGGAAGCAAGTGGCAGGAACAGGAAGTGGAATTGTTTCCAGTTTGATTCCCCCTCCCACGGAACCTTTTGTTCTGGGCCTTTTCCCTTCAAGCCTAATTCTGTCTTTTTTCTTTGTTGCAATTTACAGACACTTGGCTGACCTCACCTGCGTCAACAGCAGGTAAATAATCCTCTCACCCCTCCCTAGGGCTCACTATCTCTGGACATATTTTGTGTTTCAAACTGATAGGATGCGGCTCAAGGTGGGCCCCTCTCTTTCATGTCCCTGTGGGTTGCGTGGGAGGAAGGTGGAGTCTCTGGTGAGCCAGTCCTGGGTCTGATGTTGGAGGCTGGAGGCTGCTGGTGATCTGTCTCTCATGGGACCCTGTTCCAAGTGTTCAGGAATGATCCTCATCCAGGTGCTCAGGACAAGCACTGGAGGGCTCCCTAATCCTGTAGGGACCTCATTCCTGGCCTTCTGACCATGCACTGCAGACCTACAAAAGTGCGTGAAAATTTCTATCCGTGCAGCTCTCTGGCCGTGGCCCCGCTATCCCTGGCAATTTGCCAGAAACCAGAGAGGACAGCATGGGTGCCACCAAACTCTTGAACATGGGGCCAGCATGGGCCTGCCCTCTGGAGCTGTGGAGCTCCATCCTGTGTGTGCCCAGAGTAGGGAGTGGGGATACCATTCCTGTCACCTCCACTGGGGTCACAGATGATTCCCCAAACTCTGAGCCTCCATAAACCCGGGCAGCATAGTACATCCCCTCTCCTTCCCCTGTGATAAAGCTGAACATCAGGTAGCAGTAATATACAATCCCTGATAGGGATGGATGAGGGTTCTTGTGTTCCCCTGTAGGATCTGAATCCAGTTTGGCCCTGAGGCTGGTGAATGGAAGTGACAGGTGTCAGGGCCGAGTGGAGGTCCTATTCTGAGGCTCCTGGGGCACTGTGTGTGATGACAGCTGGGACACCAGTGATGCCAATGTGGTCTGCAGGCAGCTGGGCTGTGGCTGGGCCACATCAGCCCCAGGAAATGCCCGGTTTGGCCAGGGCTCAGGACCCATTGTTCTGCATGATGTGCGCTGCTCAGGACACGAGTCCTACCTGTGGAGTTGCCCCCACAGAGGCTGGCTCTCCCATAACTGTGGCCATCATGAAGACGCTGGTGTCATCTGCTCAGGTGGGCCTCCAAGACCTTGGGTTCCCTCTCCTAGACTGGAGTTTGCTTAGGAAGAAAATCCTAATTACATTCTGATCTCCTCATTCAAAGCTTCTTCTATGTTTCCCGTATTTATGCAGTCTTCTTAGCTCTCTGCTAAGAATCTGTATGAATTTCGCTATAGGGCCTGGTGTTCCTGTGGTCACTTAGGACAGGGGACCAAACTCAAACAACCCAGACTTTCTCCCTTTGTTGAGGCAGTGCAAGGAAGAGGCAGAAGAGAAAAGTGCTGGCTCCCCAGGGCCCCCTTTCTCCCCTGCTGAGTAGCACTGGGTGAGGGTATCATGGACGCAGGACAGACAGCAAGGCAGGGGAGGATTCCTCTCGCTGCGAGGAATTCTGAAATAAAAATGCTTGTCTGGAAGTGGGTTCTCAGCTGCGACCCAGTAAGGACGTCTGCAAATAGAGGCTCAAGGGTTAGGAATGTAAATGTGTGTCTCTTCATGTCAGGCCTGGGTTGCGTGGGGTTGGAGTTCTTGACCTCAGCTCCTCTTAGAACGCTGCTGAGCATTGCCTGTGCCCCAGGTCTGGTGTGGGGAGGGCAGCCCACATGAGGCCGGCCAGGCATGGCCTTGTTATTGCCTCTGGTCCGGGCTGGAAGATCACACAAGGGATTTTGGCTGGAGTGGCTTCCTCAGCCTTGTTGACTCAGAAATGCCTAAGACATGCAAGGGAGAGGGTGGGTTTGGGGTCATCCTGGTTACCCTGGGCAGACACAAAGTTAATCACCTCAGAGCTGGCAATAGTGGACAGGATCTGCCTCGACCCTTTACACGGTGCATCTCTGTGGGGATGGCATGGCAATGTCCCTGCCTGTGTGATCGGAACTAGGATGGACTGAGTGTCACACTTGCCCATTTCTTTCCCTCCTCGTTCCAGTTTTGCAGACTTCTGTGTAACATGCCTGATCTGACCTTCTCTTCTCTTTCTCACAGTTTCCCAGTCCCAGTCGACACCCGGTCCAGGTAAGTTTCCAGTGTCCTTCCTCAAAACGTCCCTTCTCTTTCTGCTCAATCACCCCTTCCCCACTCCACAGAGCTCTCCTGTTTCTGTCTGTGGATACTGTGGAGCATATTATTTCTACCCCCAACACCGGCTATGTAACTGAGACCCCAGCACAACGCTTTTTAAACACACGTCAGATTCAGGAGGCTTCTGTCTTCTTTTCAACCCCTCTCACCTTAATGAAACAGTTTCAAACTGTCCCAGTGGACAGCCCTTACAGGTTCAGGAATTGGCCTGTGTTTAATCAGCTTTGGTCCTTTTATATTCAGGACTCACGTAGAGTTTCTGAAAATTGAGGGTGTCACCTTCTGAACTGTTCAAGGCATCGTCAGGGCAGGCTCAATACCCCCATCCATCGCTGCTGGAAAAATTCCAAGATTATGATGGGCCGCATTTGTATCCAAAATAGGCAGAGTTTGTGCTGGGGCAGGGAAAGGGATAATAAAGGTTTGTGGTGTCTCTGCTTAGCCAGAAACCTGATTCCTGATTGTCCCCTGGGAAGCCCCTGGTTCCCCTAACATTTTAGCTTCCAGTGTCCGAGCCTCAGCAATGGCGTCTGATATCCTAGTCAGTCCATGCATCAGCAGATGTGGGATGGCATGGTGGGGAGCATCCCCTAACACATAGAAAGATACCTCAGGATTAGAGAAATGGAGGGCTCAGTCTGGTCTCCAGCAGGACCTTTACCCCTGGATGAGTTCACAGCAGAGGAGACCTGGGCAGACACATGGGAAGCAAGTGGCAGGAACAGGAAGTGGAATTGTTTCCAGTTTGATTCCCCCTCCCACGGAACCTTTTGTTCTGGGCCTTTTCCCTTCAAGCCTAATTCTGTCTTTTTTCTTTGTTGCAATTTACAGACACTTGGCTGACCTCACCTGCGTCAACAGCAGGTAAATAATCCTCTCACCCCTCCCTAGGGCTCACTATCTCTGGACATATTTTGTGTTTCAAACTGATAGGATGCGGCTCAAGGTGGGCCCCTCTCTTTCATGTCCCTGTGGGTTGCGTGGGAGGAAGGTGGAGTCTCTGGTGAGCCAGTCCTGGGTCTGATGTTGGAGGCTGGAGGCTGCTGGTGATCTGTCTCTCATGGGACCCTGTTCCAAGTGTTCAGGAATGATCCTCATCCAGGTGCTCAGGACAAGCACTGGAGGGCTCCCTAATCCTGTAGGGACCTCATTCCTGGCCTTCTGACCATGCACTGCAGACCTGCAAAAGTGCGTGAAAATTTCTATCCGTGCAGCTCTCTGGCCATGGCCCCGCTATCCCTGGCAATTTGCCAGAAACCAGAGAGGACAGCATGGGTGCCACCAAACTCTTGAACATGGGGCCAGCATGGGCCTTCCCTTTGAAGCTGTGGAGCTCCATCCTGTGTGTGCCCAGAGTAGGGAGTGGGGATACCATTCCTGTCACCTCCACTGGGGTCACAGATGATTCCCCAAACTCTGAGCCTCCATAAACCCGGGCAGCATAGTACATCCCCTCTCCTTCCCCTGTGATAAAGCTGAACGTCTGGTAGCAGTAATATACAATCCCTGATAGGGATGGATGAGGGTTCTTGTGTTCCCCTGTAGGATCTGAATCCAGTTTGGCCCTGAGGCTGGTGAATGGAGGTGACAGGTGTCAGGGCCGAGTGGAGGTCCTATACCAAGGCTCCTGGGGCACCGTGTGTGATGACTACTGGGACACCAATGATGCCAATGTGGTCTGCAGGCAGCTGGGCTGTGGCTGGGCCACATCAGCCCCAGGAAATGCCCGGTTTGGCCAGGGCTCAGGACCCATTGTCCTGGATGATATGCGCTGCTCAGGGCACGAGTCCTACCTGTGGAACTGTCCCCACAGAGGCTGGCTCTCCCACAACTGTGGCCATCATGAAGACGCTGGTGTCATTTGCTCGGGTGGGCCTTCAAGACCTTGGGCTCCCACTCTTAAGTTCCAGTTTGCTCGGGAAGAAAATCCTAATTACATTGTGATCTCCTCACTCAAAGCTTCTTCTATGTTTCCCGTATTTATGCAGTCTTGTTAGCTCTCTGCTAAGAATCTGTATGAATTTCGCTATAGGGCCTGGTGTTCCTGTGGTCACTTAGGACAGGGGACCAAACTCAAACAACCCAGACTTTCTCCCTTTCTTGAGGCAGTGCAAGGAAGAAGCAGAAGAGAAAAGTGCTGGCTCCCCAGGGCCCCCTTTCTCCCCTGCTGAGTAGCACTGGGTGAGGGTATCATGGACGCAGGACAGACAGCAAGGCAGGGGAGGATTCCTCTCGCTGCGAGGAACTTTGAACTAAAAATGCTTGTCTGGAAGTGGGTTCTCAGCTGAGACCCAGTAAGGACGTCTGCAAATAGAGGCTCAAGGGTTAGGAATGTAAATGTGTGTCTCTTCATGTCAGGCCTGGGTTGTGTGGGGTTGGAGTTCTTGACCTCAGCTCCTCTTAGAACGCTGCTGAGCATTGCCTGTGCCCCAGGTCTGGTGTGGGGAGGGCAGCCCACATGAGGCCGGCCAGGCATGGCCTTGTTATTGCCTCTGGTCCGGGCTGGAAGATCACACAAGGGATTTTGGCTGGAGTGGCTTCCTCAGCCTTGTTGACTCAGAAATGCCTAAGACATGCAAGGGAGAGGGTGGGTTTGGGGTCATCCTGGTTACCCTGGGCAGACACAAAGTTAATCACCTCAGAGCTGGCAATAGTGGACAGGATCTGCCTCGACCCTTTACACGGTGCATCTCTGTGGGGATGGCATGGCAATGTCCCTGCCTGTGTGATCGGAACTAGGATGGACTGAGTGTCACACTTGCCCATTTCTTTCCCTCCTCGTTCCAGTTTTGCAGACTTCTGTGTAACATGCCTGATCTGACCTTCTCTTCTCTTTCTCACAGTTTCCCAGTCCCAGTCGACACCCGGTCCAGGTAAGTTTCCAGTGTCCTTCCTCAAAATGTCCCTTCTCTTTCTGCTCAATCACCCCTTCCCCACTCCACAGAGCTCTCCTGTTTCTGTCTGTGGATACTGTGGAGCATATTATTTCTACCCCCAACACCGGCTATGTAACTGAGACCCCAGCACAACGCTTTTTAAACACACGTCAGATTCAGGAGGCTTCTGTCTTCTTTTCAACCCCTCTCACCTTAATGAAACAGTTTCAAACTGTCCCAGTGGACAGCCCTTACAGGTTCAGGAATTGGCCTGTGTTTAATCAGCTTTGGTCCTTTTATATTCAGGACTCACGTAGAGTTTCTGAAAATTGAGGGTGTCACCTTCTGAACTGTTCAAGGCATCGTCAGGGCAGGCTCAATACCCCCATCCATCGCTGCTGGAAAAATTCCAAGATTATGATGGGCCGCATTTGTATCCAAAATAGGCAGAGTTTGTGCTGGGGCAGGGAAAGGGATAATAAAGGTTTGTGGTGTCTCTGCTTAGCCAGAAACCTGATTCCTGATTGTCCCCTGGGAAGCCCCTGGTTCCCCTAACATTTTAGCTTCCAGTGTCCGAGCCTCAGCAATGGCGTCTGATATCCTAGTCAGTCCATGCATCAGCAGATGTGGGATGGCATGGTGGGGAGCATCCCCTAACACATAGAAAGATACCTCAGGATTAGAGAAATGGAGGGCTCAGTCTGGTCTCCAGCAGGACCTTTACCCCTGGATGAGTTCACAGCAGAGGAGACCTGGGCAGACACATGGGAAGCAAGTGGCAGGAACAGGAAGTGGAATTGTTTCCAGTTTGATTCCCCCTCCCACGGAACCTTTTGTTCTGGGCCTTTTCCCTTCAAGCCTAATTCTGTCTTTTTTCTTTGTTGCAATTTACAGACACTTGGCTGACCTCACCTGCGTCAACAGCAGGTAAATAATCCTCTCACCCCTCCCTAGGGCTCACTATCTCTGGACATATTTTGTGTTTCAAACTGATAGGATGCGGCTCAAGGTGGGCCCCTCTCTTTCATGTCCCTGTGGGTTGCGTGGGAGGAAGGTGGAGTCTCTGGTGAGCCAGTCCTGGGTCTGATGTTGGAGGCTGGAGGCTGCTGGTGATCTGTCTCTCATGGGACCCTGTTCCAAGTGTTCAGGAATGATCCTCATCCAGGTGCTCAGGACAAGCACTGGAGGGCTCCCTAATCCTGTAGGGACCTCATTCCTGGCCTTCTGACCATGCACTGCAGACCTGCAAAAGTGCGTGAAAATTTCTATCCGTGCAGCTCTATGGCCATGGCCCCGCTATCCCTGGCAATTTGCCAGAAACCAGAGAGGACAGCATGGGTGCCACCAAACTCTTGAACATGGGGCCAGCATGGGCCTGCCCTCTGGAGCTGTGGAGCTCCATCCTGTGTGTGCCCAGAGTAGGGAGTGGGGATACCATTCCTGTCACCTCCACTGGGGTCACAGATGATTCCCCAAACTCTGAACCTCCATAAACCCGGGCAGCATAGTACATCACCTCTCCTTCCCCTGTGATAAAGCTGAACGTCTGGTAGCAGTAATATACAATCCCTGATAGGGATGGATGAGGGTTCTTGTGTTCCCCTGTAGGATCTGAATCCAGTTTGGCCCTGAGGCTGGTGAATGGAGGTGACAGGTGTCAGGGCCGAGTGGAGGTCCTATACCGAGGCTCCTGGGGCACCGTGTGTGATGACAGCTGGGACACCAATGATGCCAATGTGGTCTGCAGGCAGCTGGGCTGTGGCTGGGCCACATCAGCCCCAGGAAATGCCCGGTTTGGCCAGGGCTCAGGACCCATTGTCCTGGATGATATGCGCTGCTCAGGGCACGAGTCCTACCTGTGGAACTGTCCCCACAGAGGCTGGCTCTCCCACAACTGTGGCCATCATGAAGACGCTGGTGTCATTTGCTCGGGTGGGCCTTCAAGACCTTGGGCTCCCACTCTTAAGTTCCAGTTTGCTCGGGAAGAAAATCCTAATTACATTGTGATCTCCTCACTCAAAGCTTCTTCTCTGTTTTCTGTATTTCTGTAGTCTTGTTAGCTCTCTGCTAAGAATCTGTATGAATTTTGCTACAGTACCTGGTCACTTAGGCCAGGGCTCCAAACTGACACAACCACCCAGACTTTATCTGCTTCCTGAGGTAGTGCAAGAAAGAGGAAGAAGAGAAACGTGCTGGCTCCCCAGGGCTCCATTTCTCCCAGGCTGAGTAGCGCTGGGTGAGGTATCGTGGACACAGCACAGACAGCAGGGGCAGGGAGGGATTCTCTGACTGCAAGGAGCTCTGAACTAAAGATGCTTGTCTGGAAATGGGTTCTCAGCTGAGATCCGGTGAGGACGTCTGGAAATAGTGGCTCAAGGGTTAGGAGTGCAAATGCATGTCTGTTTGTGTCAGGCCCGGGTCACATGGGGTTGGAGTCCTTGACCTCAGGTCCTCCCAGAACGCTGCAGAGCACTGCCTGTGCCCCAGGTCCGGTGTGCGGAGGGCAGCTCCCATGAAGCCAGCCAGGCATGGCTTATTATTGCCTGTGGTCGGGTCTGGAAGATCACACAAGGCATTTGGGCTGGAGTGGCCTCCTCAGCCTTGCTGTCTCAGGAACTGCCAAAACATGCAAGGGAAAGGGTTGGTTTAGGGTCAATCTGGTCACCCTGGGCAGACACAGTTACTCACCTCGGAGCTGACAATAGTGGCTGGGATCTGCCCAGACCCCTTATATGGTGCATCTCTGTGGGGATGTCCTCGGCAATGCCTCTCCCTCTGTGACAGGGACTAGGATGGACTGAGTGTCAGGCTTGCCCAGTTCCTTCTACCTGTGTTGCGGTTTTGCCATTTTCTGTATAGTGCATCTGATCCGACCTTCTCTTTCTCACAGCTGCTCAGTCCCAGTCAACGCCCAGGCCAGGTGAGTCCCCAGCATCCTTCCTCGGGATGTCCTTCTCTTTCTGCCCAGTTACCTCTTCCCCACTCCACAGAGCTCTCCTGCTTCTCTGTGCAGATATTGTGGGGCATGTTATTTTCACCCCCACCACTCTGTAACTGAGACCCCAGCACAGTGCTTCAACAGACCTAGGGTTCAGGAGGCTTCTGTTTTCTGTTCATTTATCTCAGCTTTCATGAAGCAGTCTTATAGTGTACAATGGAAAACCCTTACAGGTTCAGGAAGTGGCCTCGTGTTTAATGAGTTTTGGCTCCTTCATATTCAGAGCTGATACAACATTTCTGAGAATTGAGAGTGATTGCCAAAGTCACCTGGGAAGACAATGTCAGTTCAAGCCTTAAACATGACTTCTGCCATGGGCAAGCAATGTCAGTGCAGGCCTGATACCTCCATCCCTCTCTCCTTCAAACAGCCCAGATTTTGCAGGGCCACATCTGCATCCAGAAAAGGCAGAGGCCATGCTTGGGCAGGGAGAGGGATAATAAATATTTCTGATGCCTCCACTTACCAAGAAACTTGATACCCGTTTGGACGGCTCCTTGGTTGCCTAACATTTTAGCTCCAACTGTCAGAGCCTCAGCAATGGTGTCAGATGTGCCCATCAGTCCATGTGTCACGGGATGGGGCAGGCTAACCCTTTGTAGCCGAGAAAAGGACATCTCACACTTCAGAGGTAGGAGGGATGAGACTGGTCTCCAGCAAGGCTTTTGTTCCTGGCTGAGCTCACTGAGCTGAAGACTTGGGCAGCACTTGGAGCAAGTGGCAGGAACCAGAAATTGAATAGTTTTCATGATGCTTGCCTGATCCAGAGACTTTTTTTTTTTTTTGTAGCTTTTCATCTTCAAGTCTAATTTTGTCCTTTCTCTTTGTTGCAATTTACAGATACTTGGCTGACCACCAACTTACTGACACCGCCAATAGGTAAATCATCCTCTCACTCCTCCCAGAGGCTCACTCTCTACCTCTGGACAAATGTTTCTTTTGAAAATGATAGAATGAGGCTCAAGGTGGGAGCCTCTGTTTTTCATGTTTCTGCGAATGGCCTGGGGAGAAAGGTGGACTCCCTGGGAACCTAGTTCTGGGTCTGATGTTGGGGGCTGGAGGGTGCTAGTGACCTGTCTCCCCCGGGATTCTGTTTTATGTAGTCATGAAAGATCCTCATCCAGGTGCTCAGAACAAGCCCTGGAGGGCTCCCTAATCCTACTGGGACCTTGTTCCTGGCCCTCAGGCCACAGGCTGCAGACCTGAGAAGAGTGGGGAAAGTGCCTGTCCCCGCCGCCGTCTGGCCAAAGTCCTGCCATTTCTGGCACTTTGTTAGAAGCCAGAGAGGACCCTGTGGGTGCCACCAAACTCCTGAACATGAGGCAGGTCTCGGCCTCCTATCTGGAGCTGTGGGGCTTCATCCTGTGTGAGAATGGAGCTCAGAATGAGGAGTGAGGCATCCATTCCTGTCACTTCCAGTGCAGTCGCAGGTGCTTTCCCAATTATTTGAGCTTTCATAGACTTGGGCAGAGTAGGACCTCACTGTTTCCTCCACTATGATGAAGCTGAACCTCTGTTTGTATTCATATTCCAAGGTGATTACCTGCCCACGTGACTTTGGCCATGAGAAACTGCCCTGAGTGTAGAACATTCCTTAAATCCTTAACCTTGAACTCATAATCAGTATGGATGAAGGGTTCTTCTGTTGCCCTGTAGGATCTGAATCCAGTTTGGCCCTGAGGCTGGTGAATGGAGGTGACAGGTGTCAGGGCCGAGTGGAGGTCCTATACCGAGGCTCCTGGGGCACCGTGTGTGATGACAGCTGGGACACCAATGATGCCAATGTGGTCTGCAGGCAGCTGGGCTGTGGCTGGGCCACATCAGCCCCAGGAAATGCCCGGTTTGGCCAGGGCTCAGGACCCATTGTCCTGGATGACGTGCGCTGCTCAGGACAGGAGTCCTACCTGTGGAACTGTCCCCACAGAGGCTGGCTCTCCCACAACTGTGGCCATCATGAAGACGCTGGTGTCATTTGCTCAGGTGGGCCTTCAAGACATTGGGCTGCCTCTCTTAGGTTGAAGTTTGCCCCTGAAGAAAATCCTAATTACATTGTGATCTCCTCACTCAAAGCTTCTTCTCTGTTTTCTGTATTTCTGTAGTCTTGTTAGCTCTCTGCTAAGAATCTGTATGAATTTTGCTACAGTACCTGACCACTTAGGCCAGGGCTCCAAACTGAGACAACCACCCAGACTTTATCTGCTTCCTGAGGTAGTGCAAGGAAGAGGCAGAAGGGAAAAGTGCTGGCTCCCCAGGGCTCCATTTCTCCCAGGCTGAGTAGCGCTGGGTGAGGGTATCGTGGACACAGCACAGACAGCAGGGGCAGGGAGGGATTCTCTGACTGCAAGGAACTCTGAACTAAAGATGCTTGTCTGGAAATGGGTTCTCAGCTGAGATCCGGTGAGGATGTCTGGAAATAGCCGCTCAAGGGTTAGGAGTGCAAATGCATGTCTGTTTGTGTCAGGCCCGGGTCACATGGGGTTGGAGTCCTTGACCTCAGGTCCTCCCAGAACGCTGCAGAGCACTGCCTGTGCCCCAGGTCCGGTGTGCGGAGGGCAGCTCCCATGAAGCCAGCCAGGCATGGCTTATTATTGCCTGTGGTCGGGTCTGGAAGATCACACAAGGCATTTGGGCTGGAGTGGCCTCCTCAGCCTTGCTGTCTCAGGAACTGCCAAAACATGCAAGGGAAAGGGTTGGTTTAGGGTCAATCTGGTCACCCTGGGCAGACACAGTTACTCACCTCGGAGCTGACAATAGTGGCTGGGATCTGCCCAGACCCCTTATATGATGCATCTCTGTGGGGATGTCCTCGGCAATGCCTCTCCCTCTGTGACAGGGACTAGGATGGACTGAGTGTCAGGCTTGCCCAGTTCCTTCTACCTTTGTTGCGGTTTTGCCATTTTCTGTATAGTGCATCTGATCCGACCTTCTCTTTCTCACAGCTGCTCAGTCCCAGTCAACGCCCAGGCCAGGTGAGTCCCCAGCATCCTTCCTCGGGATGTCCCTTCTCTTTCTGCCCAGTTACCTCTTCCCCACTCCACAGAGCTCTCCTGCTTCTCTGTGCAGATACTGTGGGGCATGTTATTTTCACCCCCACCACTCTGTAACTGAGACCCCAGCACAGTGCTTCAACAGACCTAGGGTTCAGGAGGCTTCTGTTTTCTGTTCATTTATCTCAGCTTTCATGAAGCAGTCTTATAGTGTACAATGGAAAACCCTTACAGGTTCAGGAAGTGGCCTCGTGTTTAATGAGTTTTGGCTCCTTCATATTCAGAGCTGATACAACATTTCTGAGAATTGAGAGTGATTGCCAAAGTCACCTGGGAAGACAATGTCAGTTCAAGCCTTAAACATGACTTCTGCCATGGGCAAGCAATGTCAGTGCAGGCCTGATACCTCCATCCCTCTCTCCTTCAAACAGCCCAGATTTTGCAGGGCCACATCTGCATCCAGAAAAGGCAGAGGCATGCTTGGGCAGGGAGAGGGATAATAAATATTTCTGATGCCTCCACTTACCAAGAAACTTGATACCCGTTTGGACGGCTCCTTGGTTTCCTAACATTTTAGCTCCAACTGTCAGAGCCTCAGCAATGGTGTCAGATGTGCCCATCAGTCCATGTGTCACGGGATGGGGCAGGCTAACCCTTTGTAGCCGAGAAAAGGACATCTCACACTTCAGAGGTAGGAGGGATGAGACTGGTCTCCAGCAAGGCTTTTGTTCCTGGCTGAGCTCACTGAGCTGAAGACTTGGGCAGCACTTGGAGCAAGTGGCAGGAACCAGAAATTGAATAGTTTTCATGATGCTTGCCTGATCCAGAGACTTTTTGTTTGTTTGTTTGTTTGTAGCTTTTCACCTTCAAGTCTAATTTTGTTCTTTCTTTGTTGCAATTTACAGATACTTGGCTGACCACCAACTTACTGACACCGCCAATAGGTAAATCATCCTCTCACTCCTCCCAGAGGCTCACTCTCTACCTCTGGACAAATGTTTCTTTTGAAAATGATAGAATGAGGCTCAAGGTGGGAGCCTCTGTTTTTCATGTTTCTGCGAATGGCCTGGGGAGAAAGGTGGACTCCCTGGGAACCTAGTTCTGGGTCTGATGTTGGGGGCTGGAGGGTGCTAGTGACCTGTCTCCCCCGGGATTCTGTTTTATGTAGTCATGAAAGATCCTCATCCAGGTGCTCAAGACAAGCCCTGGAGGGCTCCCTAATCCTACTGGGACCTTGTTCCTGGCCCTCAAGCCACAGGCTGCAGACCTGAGAAGAGTGGGGAAAGTGCCTGTCCCTGCTGCCGTCTGGCCAAAGTCCTGCCATTCCTGGCACTTTGTTAGAAGCCAGAGAGGACCCTGTGGGTGCCACCAAACTCCTGAACATGAGGCAGGTCTCGGCCTCCTATCTGGAGCTGTGGGGCTTCATCCTGTGTGAGAATGGAGCTCAGAATGAGGAGTGAGGCCTCCATTCCTGTCACTTCCAGTGGAGTCACAGGTGCTTTCCCAATTATTTGAGCTTCCATAGACTTGGGTAGAGTAGGACCTCACTGTTACTTCCACTATGATGAAGCTGAACCTCTGTTTGTATTCATATTCGAAGGTGATTACCTGCCCACGTGACTTTGGCCATGAGAAACTGCCCTGAGTGTAGAACATTCCTTAAATCCTTAAATCCTTGACCTCATAATCAGTATGGATGAAGGGTTCTTCTGTTGCCCTGTAGGATCTGAATCCAGTTTGGCCCTGTACAATGGACAACCGTTACAGGTTCAGGAACTGGCTTCATGTTTAATGAGTTTTGGCTCCTTCATATTCAGAACTGATATAACCTTTCTGAGAATTGAGAGTGATTGCCAAAGTCACCTGGGAAGACAATGTCAGTTCGAGCCTTAAACATGACTTCTGCCATGGGCAAGCAATGTCAGTGCAGGCCTGATACCTCCATCCCTCACTACTTCAAACAGCCCAGATTTTGCAGGGCCACATCTGCATCTAGAAAAGGCAGAGGCCATGCTTGGGCAAGGAGAGGGATAATAATATTTCTGATGCCTCCACTTACCAAGAAACTTGATACTCGTTTGGACGGCTCCTTGGTTTCCTAACATTTTAGCTCCAACTGTCAGAGTCTCAGCAAATGGTGTCATATGTGCCCATCAGTCCATGTGTCACTGGATGGGGCAGGCTAACCCTTTGTAGCCGAGAAAAGGACATCTCACACTTCAGAGGTAGGAGGGATGAGACTGGTCTCCAGCAAGGCTTTTGTTCCTGGCTGAGCTCACTGAGCTGAAGACTTGGGCAGCACTTGGAGCAAGTGGCAGGAACCAGAAATTGAATAGTTTTCATGATGCTTGCCTGATCCAGAGACTTTTTTTTTTTTTTTGTAGCTTTTCACCTTCAAGTCTAATTTTGTTCTTTCTTTGTTGCAATTTACAGATACTTGGCTGACCACCAACTTACTGACACCGCCAATAGGTAAATCATCCTCTCACTCCTGCCAGAGGCTCACTCTCTACCTCTGGACAAATGTTTCTTTTGAAAATGATAGAATGAGGCTCAAGGTGGGAGCCTCTGTTTTTCATGTTTCTGCGAATGGCCTGGGGAGAAAGGTGGACTCCCTGGGAACCTAGTTCTGGGTCTGATGTTGGGGGCTGGAGGGTGCTAGTGACCTGTCTCCCCCGGGATTCTGTTTTATGTAGTCATGAAAGATCCTCATCCAGGTGCTCAGGACAAGCCCTGGAGGGCTCCCTAATCCTACTGGGACCTTGTTCCTGGCCCTCAGGCCACAGGCTGCAGACCTGAGAAGAGTGGGGAAAGTGCCTGTCCCCGCCGCCGTCTGGCCAAAGTCCTGCCATTTCTGGCACTTTGTTAGAAGCCAGAGAGGACCCTGTGGGTGCCACCAAACTCCTGAACATGAGGCAGGTCTCGGCCTCCTATCTGGAGTTGTGGGGCTTCATCCTGTGTGAGAATGGAGCTCAGAATGAGGAGTGAGGCCTCCATTCCTGTCACTTCCAGTGGAGTCGCAGGTGCTTTCCCAATTATTTGAGCTTTCATAGACTTGGGCAGAGTAGGACCTCACTGCTTCTTCCACTATGATGAAGCTGAACCTCTGTTTGTATTCATATTCGAAGGTGATTACCTGCCCACGTGACTTTGGCCATGAGAAACTGCCCTGAGTGTAGAACATTCCTTAAATCCTTAAATCCTTGAACTCATAATCAGTATGGATGAAGGGTTCTTGTGTTCCCCTGTAGGATCTGAATCCAGTTTGGCCCTGAGGCTGGTGAATGGAGGTGACAGGTGTCAGGGCCGCGTGGAGGTCCTATACCGAGGCTCCTGGGGCACCGTATGTGATGACTACTGGGACACCAATGATGCCAATGTGGTCTGCAGGCAGCTGGGCTGTGGCTGGGCCACGTCAGCCCCAGGAAATGCCCGGTTTGGCCAGGGCTCAGGACCCATTGTCCTGGATGATGTGCGCTGCTCAGGACAGGAGTCCTACCTGTGGAACTGTCCCCACAGAGGCTGGCTCTCCCACAACTGTGGCCATCATGAAGATGCTGGTGTCATTTGCTCAGGTGGGCCTTCAAGACATTGGGCTGCCTCTCTTAGGTTGAAGTTTGCCCCTGAAGAAAATCCTAATTACATTGTGATCTCCTCACTCAAAGCTTCTTCTCTGTTTTCTGTATTTCTGTAGTCTTGTTAGCTCTCTGCTAAGAATCTGTATGAATTTTGCTACAGTACCTGACCACTTAGGCCAGGGCTCTAAACTGAGACAACCACCCAGACTTTATCTGCTTCCTGAGGTAGTGCAAGAAAGAGGAAGAAGAGAAACGTGCTGGCTCCCCAGGGCTCCATTTCTCCCAGGCTGAGTAGCGCTGGGTGAGGGTATCGTGGACACAGCACAGACAGCAGGGGCAGGGAGGGATTCTCTGACTGCAAGGAACTCTGAACTAAAGATTCTTGTCTGGAAATGGGTTCTCAGCTGAGATCCGGTGAGGACGTCTGGAAATAGTGGCTCAAGGGTTAGGAGTGCAAATGCATGTCTGTTTGTGTCAGGCCCGGGTCACATGGGGTTGGAGTCCTTGACCTCAGGTCCTCCCAGAACGCTGCAGAGCACTGCCTGTGCCCCAGGTCCGGTGTGCGGAGGGCAGCTCCCATGAAGCCAGCCAGGCATGGCTTATTATTGCCTGTGGTCGGGTCTGGAAGATCACACAAGGCATTTGGGCTGGAGTGGCCTCCTCAGCCTTGCTGTCTCAGGAACTGCCAAAACATGCAAGGGAAAGGGTTGGTTTAGGGTCAATCTGGTCACCCTGGGCAGACACAGTTACTCACCTCGGAGCTGACAATAGTGGCTGGGATCTGCCCAGACCCCTTATATGGTGCATCTCTGTGGGGATGTCCTCGGCAATGCCTCTCCCTCTGTGACAGGGACTAGGATGGACTGAGTGTCAGGCTTGCCCAGTTCCTTCTACCTTTGTTGTGGTTTTGCCATTTTCTGTATAGTGCATCTGATCGGACCTTCTCTTTCTCACAGCTGCTCAGTCCCAGTCAACGCCCAGGCCAGGTGAGTCCCCAGCATCCTTCCTCAGGATGTCCCTTCTCTTTCTGCCCAGTTACCTCTTCCCCACTCCACAGAGCTCTCCTGCTTCTCTGTGCAGATACTGTGGGGCATGTTATTTTCACCCCCACCACTCTGTAACTGAGACCCCAGCACAGTGCTTCAACAGACCTAGGGTTCAGGAGGCTTCTGTTTTCTGTTCATTTCTCTCAGCTTTCATGAAGCAGCTTCATACTGTACAATGGAAAACCCTTACAGGTTCAGGAAGTGGCCTGGTGTTTAATGAGTTTTGGCTCCTTCATACTCAGAACTGATATAACCTTTCTGAGAATTGAGAGTGATTGCCACAGTCACCTGGGAGGACAATGTCAGTTTGAGCCTTAAACATGACTTCTGCCATGGGCAAGCAATGTCAGTGCAGGCCTGATACCTCCATCCCTCTCTCCTTCAAACAGCCCAGATTTTGCAGGGCCACATCTGCATCCAGAAAAGGCAGAGGCCATGCTTGGGCAGGGAGAGGGATAATAAATATTTCTGATGCCTCCACTTACCAAGAAACTTGATACCCGTTTGGACGGCTCCTTGGTTTCCTAACATTTTAGCTCCAACTGTCAGAGTCTCAGCAAATGGTGTCATATGTGCCCATCAGTCCATGTGTCACTGGATGGGGCAGGCTAACCCTTTGTAGCCGAGAAAAGGACATCTCACACTTCAGAGGTAGGAGGGATGAGACTGGTCTCCAGCAAGGCTTTTGTTCCTGGCTGAGCTCACTGAGCTGAAGACTTGGGCAGCACTTGGAGCAAGTGGCAGGAACCAGAAATTGAATAGTTTTCATGATGCTTGCCTGATCCAGAGACTTTTTTTTTTTTTTTTTTGGTAACTTTTCATCTTCAAGTCTAATTTTGTGTTTTCTCTTTGTTGCAATTTACAGATACTTGGCTGACCACCAACTTACTGACACCGCCAATAGGTAAATCATCCTCTCACTCTTCCCAGAGGCTCACTGTCTACCTCTGGACAAATGTTTCTTTTGAAAATGATAGAATGAGGCTCAAGCGGGTGACTCTGTTTTTCATGTTTCTGCAAGTTGCCTGGGGAGAAAAGTGGACTCCCTGGAACCTAGTTCTGGGTCTGATGTTGGAGGCTGGAGGGTACTAGTGACCTGTCTCCCCTGGGATTATGTTTTATGTAGTCAGGAAAGATCCTCATCCAGGTGCTCAGAACAAGCCCGGAGGGTTCCCTAATCCTACTGGGACCTTGTTCCTGGCCCTCAGGCCCCAGGCTGCAGATGTGAAAACAGTGGGGAAAGTGCCTGTCCCCGCCGCCATCTGGCCAAAGTCCTGCCATTCCTGGCACTTTGTTAGAAGCCAGAGAGGACCCTGTGGGTGCCACCAAACTCCTGAACATGAGGCAGGTCTCGGCCTCCTATCTGGAGCTGTGGGGCTTCATCCTGTGTGAGAATGGAGCTCAGAGTGAGGCCTCCATTCCTGTCACTTCCAGTGGAGTCACAGGTGCTTTCCCAATTATTTGAGCTTCCATAGAGTTGGGTAGAGTAGGACCTCACTGTTTCTTCCACTATGATGAAGCTGAACCTCTGTTTGTATTCATATTCCAAGGTGATTACCTGCCCACGTGACTTTGGCCATGAGAAACTGCCCTGAGTGTAGAACATTCCTTAAATCCTTGACCTCATAATCAGTATGGATGAAGGGTTCTTGTGTTCCCCTGTAGGATCTGAATCCAGTTTGGCCCTGAGGCTGGTGAATGGAGGTGACAGGTGTCAGGGCCGAGTGGAGGTCCTATACCGAGGCTCCTGGGGCACCGTGTGTGACGACTACTGGGACACCAATGATGCCAATGTGGTCTGCAGGCAGCTGGGCTGTGGCTGGGCCACGTCAGCCCCAGGAAATGCCCGGTTTGGCCAGGGCTCAGGACCCATTGTCCTGGATGACGTGCGCTGCTCAGGACAGGAGTCCTACCTGTGGAACTGTCCCCACAGAGGCTGGCTGTCCCACAACTGTGGCCATAATGAAGACGCTGGTGTCATCTGCTCAGGTGGGTCTCCAAGACTTTCCAGACCCAAGAGTGGGCTCCCTCTCTTGGGGTGGAGTTTGCTCCAGAGGAAAGTCGTAATTGCATTCTGATCTCCTCACTCGAAGCTTCTTCTGTGTTTCCTATGTTTCTGAAGACTTGTTAGCTCTCTGCTAAGAATCCATATGAATTCACTGCCTGGTGTTCCTATGGTCACTTAGGAGAGAGGGCCAAACTCACACAACAATCCAGACTTTATCCCCTTCCTAAGGCAGTGCAAGGAAGAGGCAGAAGAGAAAACTGCTGGCTCCCCAGGGTTCCATTTCTCCCCTGCTGAGTAACAGTGGGTGAGGGTATGGTAGCCACTGCACAGACAGCGGGGCGGAGGAGGGATCCTCTCCTTGGGAGAGGCTCATGGTAAGGAAAGGACACATTTTGGGGTAGGGAATTCTCACTTAAGGCCCCAGTAAGGAGCATTTGGATTGGAGGCATATGGGCTAGCAGTGTAAATGTGTAGCTGTGCATGTGTGACCTGGTTCTTCGTCAGTTTCAACTCCTTCCAAAGAACTGAAGTGCATTGTCTGTCTAGCAAGCCTGGTGTTGGGAGGGCAGCCCCCATGAGATCGCCAGGCAAACCCTTGTTATTACCTGTGGTTTGGGATGGAAGATCACACAGGAGATTTTTGCTGGAGTGGTATCCTGAGACTTGCTGACTTGGTGAATTACTAAAACCTTCAAGGGAAAGGGTTGGTTTTGGTTCAACTTGGACATCACATCCAGACACAGTGTTAATTGCCTTGGAGCTGGAAATGGTGGGCAGAATCTGCTTGGACCTTTTCTAAGGAGCATCTTCGAGTCCAGCCAAAGCACTGGCATTCAGCAGGTCTGGGTGAAACTCCTGGGTCTTGCTTGAAGCCTCTGGCCACTCCTTACCTCATTCGATGTGGAAGGTTCCCTTATTTACCAGTTGTCAATTGATCTTTAAAGAGGATTTATTATTAGGGATGCTTTTGTTTGCACATGGCAGGAACTGAACTCAAACTCTCTTTAGCTAGAAAGGAATTCATTGGCTCAGGTATCCAGAATGTTTAGTGGTGGATCTGGAGCTTCAGGTACAGCTGGTTCCAGAAGTTCTAAGTCTTTTTTCCCTATGCTTTGCTTACATTTACCCTTTTATCTGTGTGGGCTTCACTATCAACTTGCTTTTTGCATATGGCTGAAAGACAGCAGAGGGCAGCCCCAAGTCTATATCCCACCAGGAGAAGGAGTCAGGCTGTCCCAGTACCTCTGGCTGACAAGGCCTGGGAGGACTCTGATTGACCTGCTTGTCAACAGGTGCTTTCTTCCAAACCATCTCTATTAGCTCTGATGGCTCAGCCAGAGTTCTATACCCATCTTTGTGTTCCCTTGGGGCGATGGGAAGGATGGGGGCACTAGGCTGTACTTGAACCTTGTAGGATGCTACTTTTTAAAATAGGAATGACTGTTTCTATTAGCATAAAAAACAGGCAGGATGTTTGAGACAGAGTCAGCAGTCCCTTAGTTGGACCCTTCCTTTCCTTTGATACTCTCTGCTCTTTGTTGGCTGACGTTACCCCTCTATCCCAAGATGGAACCTTCCCTCTCCCTGGCTGTTGTCCATGTTCGTTACCATCATCTCTATCTAGTTCCAGGACTTTTTCATTATCCCCAACTGAAAGCTCTTACCCCTTAACCATTCATAATCCATTCCTCTTTCCCTCAGCTCCTGGCAACCACTAATCTGCTTTCTGTCTCTGTATACAGATTTTACTAAGAACCCTGATCATTTTCTGTGAATGGAATCATAGCCTTTTCTGTCTGGCTTCATTCATTTAACATAATGTTTCCAAGGTTCATTCATGTTTTAGCATGTGTCAGAACTTCGTTACTTTTAATTGCCAACTAATATTCCATTGTATGGCCATGCCATCTTTTGTCTATCCATTTATCAGCTTATGGACATTTGGATTGCTTCCATCTTTTGGCTGTTGTGAATAAGGCTGCTATGAACATTAGTGTATGATTTTTTTGTTTGCACTTGTGTTTCCAATTTTGGGAGATATATATCTAGGAGTGGGATTTCTGGGTAATAGGGTAATTATGTTTAATTTATTGTGGAAACACCGAACAGTTGCCATAGCTGCTGCACCAATTTGCTTTCCCCCCAGCAATGCCTGAGAATTCTGATTCCTCCATATCCTCACCAACACTTGTTATGATGTCTTTTTCATCATGGCCATCCTAGTGGGTGTAAGGTGGTATTTCATGGTGTTTTGATTTGCATTTCCCTGATGACTAATGATGCTGAGCATCTTTTCATGTGTTGGTGGGCCCTTTGTATATATTCTTGGGAGAAGAGTGGCTTCGTTTTATAGATACTAAGCTGAAGACCAGAAGAACTAGACTAATATCAGTATCTTAGCCCAGCTCCTGAGCTCACCGGACAGGGTTCAGTTACACAGAGGGATCAGGATGCCTGGCCCAGTGTTGTGTCTAGCATGTGACATTCCTTCATGGAGGCCTAACTCTGCCATTTTTCCTCCACTCTCAGGCATAGGCACCTCTAGGTATGCACAACTAAGTGTTATCATAGTCACTTCTGCCCACTGTCCCTGTAGCTCATGGTATTCAGTGGGTCCAGGTTTTGTTTCAGATTGAAGGCAAGCTGTGGGTTTGAAAGTGACTCAGGAACAAGCCTCAGGCCTGATGGGGTGGTCCCTGTGAGCAGAGTGAGTCAGCCAGAGGTGGAGAGGTGGAATCTCCCAAGAACCAGGTCCTAGGGCTGCACTTTGCCAGGCAAGTGGGAGCTGGTCTTGGTTGCATCCTGCTGCAGGGGCGCTTGAGCCCAGTGGTCCCTGCAGATCCAGGCTGATGGCTCCTGCACTTTAACCTCTGAATCTGAAGGCCTGGCTCAGTACTTGAATTTCTGGGCACTGAGATAACTCCATTGGAGAACATGCACAGCTCAGTCCGTGCCCAAAGGTTCTAGAAGACAGCCCTTAAGGATAACATGTTGAAGAACAGGCTTCCGTCAATGTCTATGCTGCTGGAGAACATTGACTGGAGACCCAGAAACCTTGGCCTTCTGGAAGAATTCAGAACTTCACTCTGACCTCAGATCCTCTCCCTTTAGCAGATACAGGAGAGAGTGAATTTTCCTGTCTCTTCTAGAATCCAATTCTGGTGTGGCCCTGAGGCTGGTGAATGGAGGTGACAGGTGTCAGGAGTGGAGGTCCTATACCAAGGCTCCTGGGGCACCATGTGTGATGACAGCTGGGACACCAATGATGCCAATGTGGTCTGCAGGCAGCTGGGCTGTGGCTGGGCCATGTCAGCCCCTGGAAATGCCCAGTTTGGTCAGGGCTCAGGACCCATTGTCCTGGATGATGTGCGCTGCTCAGGGAACGAGTCCTACCTGTGGAGCTGCCCCCACAATGACTGGCTCTCCCACAGCTGTCAGCATAGTGAAGCCACTGTCATCTGTTCAGATGGGCCTCCAAGACTTGGGCCTCTATTTTAGTGCATGGTTTTCTCCATGACAAGGCTTCTCTTTGCACTAACCTCCTCCCAGCCTGAGCTTCTCTTCTAGATGGCCAGTTTCTCTGATACCTCAACAGGGCAAGAACATCAGCAAATGTTGTCGATGTCTTTGACTTTTATGGGTAGGCACTAGCTTCTTCCTTACATAGGTTCCTATAGCAAACAAGGGTTCAGTCAACTTTCAGCTGTAAGAGTGAATTCTTCAAACACCTTTTTTTGAGACTAACCCTTAATGTTTATGTCTACTGTTCCACTCTCCTGGATGACTCTTGGGGAGCATTTCTAAGTGACAAGGTGGGACAGACACTCAACATTTATCTCGCTCATCATCCTGGGCACTGGGACTGACTCACGTTTTCTTCTTTTCCTTGCAGCCACCCAAATAAATTCTACTGTGTCAGGTGAGTCTGCTCCACCCCAGCCTAGCAATATTCTCTTGGAAATTCCACTCTCTCTTGTTTCCAGAAGTAGGAGGAGTAGGGTAAGTTCCCCCTGAGGGGTAATTTCTCTCTGAGGGCTCAGACCTTTGTTAGGGTGATGAGCTGAGTTCCCACTGCCATCACTCTCATGTCTGGCTGCACTGCAGAGGACCCCTGTGTCCTCCTGCTATTGCCTGCTGATAGTGCTAAGTGCTGGCAGAGATGCTGCTGTGGAAGGAGGCTTTGGTCCTCCCATTATTTCAGATGAAAATAACTGTCTAAATTAACCCATGGAAAATTGGGACCTTCATTTTAGAAACATAGCCAAGCGAGACTTCTGCATGTATTTGTCAAATGAAGAATTCTTTCACTTTGAGGGAGCCATCCCCAACATGTTTTTGTGCCACAGTGAAAATATCCTGGGCCAAATATGTTGGGAGGTGCTACATACTCTAGACCTTACTGGCCATGAACAGTGTAAACTGGAATGGTCAAGGCTCTGAGAAGTCCTATACTAAGGAAAAGGATTTAACTTTGTCAGTCATACAAATGACTATGGAATGGAAAAATTATCTAGTAAATTCCTAAACAGCTTCATTTTTTTTTTCTAGATTGGTGGCATCCAACAACTACAATCACTACAAGTAAGTATCACATTTTCCACCTGAACCATAGGTCATGCATTTCTTATCCTCAAGCTTGGCTATCCATGAGTGAATGCTCTGCCCCCACCCCAGCCTTCCTCAATCTGCACATAGCCCTGGCCTGTCCCACTACACCCTTCACCTCTTCATTTGAATCAATGAGATAAGTATTCTTAAAATAATCGACTTAAAGGCTTTTATTTTGGGGGGTATCTCCAAAGCTTTGGGAAGAAGAAGGGAGACAAATAGTAAATGGATAATTTTACTACAAATTATGCTTTTCCACGTCATTTTTATTTCACTATATGGATATGTTTCAATAGATTTTCATTGCTTTTAAAAAATAGTAGGACTACTTTTCTGTGTTATTAAATCTTTTCTCACTATTATTTTAAGTGCCTGTATTGTATTCTACTATAGAGATACGCCATGAATTATTTGACAAATCCTCATACTAGATATTTGTTTGTATTTCTTCATTACTGTAAATGATTTTGTGATGAAGAATATTTTTATAGACAATTTTTTTGCATACCTCACTAATTTTTCCTTTAGGATGTAAATGGGTGTACTGGACTAAAGTCAACATCAACATAGTGCCTGGTACATAGAATGTACTCCATACATACTAACTTTTACTGTGTTAGGTATTTTAAGATCTTGCTGTGTGTATGGTCCAACTACCATCAAGAATTGTTGTAAAATTATGGAATGATGTAACAGTCAAAGTGATCTTCTTCCTCAGAGCTCACAGTATTATTTAATACACAACCAACTAGAAAATTACAGTTGTGACAAGTGTTTCCAAGGAAAAGTTCAGTGTGCAAAGAGGAAGTATTAGTAGAGATCTTCCTTGACTGGGGGGTTAGGGGAAGTTCCTTATGGAAGTGACATTTAAGCTGGGAGTTAATAGAGGAGCAGGTTCATTTGCTGAAGTGTCTTCTAACTAGAAGGAATGCTTTGAAGGCCCTAAGCTGGGAAGGAGCTTGGCTCTTTGAAGGAGGATGGGGTGGGGGCAAGGAGGGACTGCAGGAAATCTGTTGGGTGAGGCCAGATCATTCAGGGCCTTGTGGGGAGGTTAAGACTTCTATCTTTATCCTAAAGGTAGGGAGGCTGTGGAAAGATTTTAATCTTGAGAGTTAGCTAATTGGAAACATATTTGCAAAAGATCATGTTTATCTTTTCTGCCAAACTGCATTTCCTGGAGGCAGGGGCCATGTCTGCCTTTTCCATAATGTATCCTTATTATGCAGCATTGTGTCTGCCTTTCAAGAACTATTTATTGAAAGAATAAATGAATGAATGGATAAATTAATGAATACATACATAATTACTGTTGACATTTTGGCATACGTTCCATACACTATACACACACACACACACACACACACACAGAGTATGGCATGCTTTATATCCCATTGTATAACCCATCATTTTCATTTAAGTGCATATAATACTTTTTTCATGACCTTAAAATTAGCATTTTTATAGCATTGAAATTATTTGTATAGAAGAAGGTTTAATGACTACACAATTTTCCACTGTATAGATATACCATCATTTAGTTAAACAGTTACTAATTGTGGGACAAAAACATTGTTTCCAATTATATTTTATAATATTAAGTGACTACATATAATAGCATATTTTATAACCATTTCTATTTAATGTTTAGAAATATGTAATTCGTATCCTTGCCTCTGAAAGTTTGACTTTATCCTTAATTATTTCCCAGTGTAGAAATAGAATGGGTGGGCAGGCCACACGATCTTCAAGAAACACTGTATTCCCACCAAATGGGAGAACACATTTCTATCTCGTAAGGGACTTGTGCCTAGGATATATAAGTGACTCTTGTAGTCAATGATAAAAAGTCAAATAACCCAACTGAACAATGAGCAAAAGACCTAAAAGATATTTCTCTACAGAAGATTCACAGATGGCAGAGAAGGCATTGGAAAGATGCTCAATGTCATTAGCCGTAAAGGACATGCAAATTAAACACCCAGTAGGTGGGTCTTAGTCAAAAAGCCAGATCATAGCAAGTGTTGATGAGGATGTGGAGAAATTGGAAACCTTATGCATGGCTTCAGGGAATGTGAAATGGTACAGCCACTTTGAGAAGCAGTTTGGTGGCTCCCCAAAAGGTTAGACCTGGAGTGACCATATGACCCACCACTTGAACTCCTAGGCATATACCCAGGAGGCATGAAAACATACTTCCACACAGAAACTTGTATGTCAATGTTCAGGACAGCTTCATTCGTAGTAGCCAAATGTGAATGCAATGCAAATGTTCCTCATGGTGAATCAAGAAACAAATATGATACGTCCATGCAGTGGAGTATTATTTGGCAATAAAAATGAATTTAATAGTGGCCGGACGCGGTGGCTCACACCTGTAATCCCAGCACTTTGGGAGGCTGAGATGGGTGGATTGGCTGAGGTCAGGACTTTGAGACCAGCCTGGCCAACATGGTGAAACCCTGTCTCTACTAAAAATACAAAAATTAGCTGGGTGTGATGGTGGGCGGCTGTAATCCCAGCTACTTGGGAGGCTGGGGCAGGAGAATCGCTTGAATCTGGGAAGCGGAGGTTGCAGTGAGCTGAGATCGTGCCATTGCACTCCAGCCTGGGCTACAAGAGCGAAACTCCATCTCAAAAAAAAAAAAAAAAGAATTTAATACTGATTTATGCTACAACATGATGAACTTTGAAAACATGTTGAGAAGTAAGTCAAAAAAGACTACCATATCGTACAATTTGTTTTATATAAAATGTCCAGAATAGTCAAATCTATAGGGACAGAAAAGTAGATCAGTGGTTGCCAGGAATGGAGGGTGTTGAGAAGAAATGGGGAGTGATTGCTAATCACTCCTAAACAAGGTTTCTTTTTAGGGTGACGAAAATAATCTAAAACTGTGGTGATTTCAGAGCTCTGAGTATGCTAAAAACCATGGACTTGTCCCCTTAGAAAAACTAAACAAAGAGTTATGAAAAAGAAAAAAAAAAAGAAAACGTTTTAATTTATATCACTGAGTGCACATTTTGAAAAAATTTTTATTACTATAAACCACCCACAAAATGTTTGACTGTTTAGTATTTATCCCTTTCTGATAAATAGCAATAGCTAATATTGCTGGGTGCTTATGTGCCTGGCACTCTCTAAGAGTTTACATAGACATAGAAACATATCTCATGTTTAGGTATAAATGTTCATATATACACATCTTATTTGATACCCATAAGAGTCTGATGAGGCAGACGCCATTACCACTCTCATTTTTCTGATGAGGAAACTGAGGCAGAGAGGTTAAGTAACTGGCTCCGGATCATGGAGCTGATAGAGGCAGAGCCAAGATGCAAACCCAGGCTTCTTGTTGCAGAAACGCTGCTCCTAACCCAACGTTGTGCTACTTGTGAATTGACAGAGTCCTGTGCTCATGGAAGACGCTAGGGAGCACCCCGTATTATGGAGTGCTCTCCACGGGTCGGTGCTGTGCTCAGCCGGGACTATCCCACGTCCCTGTCTGTAGCGGATTGAACAATGATAGCAGTCACTTTGTTGCTTTCTTGGCATTTTTGCTAGAGGTGACACATGCTCCCTCTGAAGCTTAGGTCACCTCCTCCCAGAGGATTGCTGTCCAGGCCCAACAGGGAAAGCAGACTCGAATCAAAGCTCCTAATATTGGGCCACCTCGAACCAGGCCCAAGAGAGGGGACTTGTTTACAGGGAAAGTTAAGTCATGTTATAAAGTGCAGAAGATGAAACTGGATGATACTTACACGGATGATTGCTTGTCACAAAATACCTGAAGACCTGGTACAATGGAGATGTCCCCTCTCTCCTCTCTAGGACCCTCTTCAAATTGTGGTGGCTTCTTATTCAGTGCCAGTGGGACATTCTCCAGCCCATCCTACCCTGCATACTACCCCAACAATGCTAAGTGTGTTTGGGAAATAGAAGTGAATTCTGGTTATCGCATAAACCTGGGCTTCAGTAATCTGCAGTAAGTAATGCCTGGTCATCTGGTGAGGGGTGAGTCCCTCTGCAGCACACCCAGTGGTTTAGACTGTGTCCTGGGCTGGGATGCTTTTCACTGTCGTGTGCTGTGGACAAGCTTTTGGTCGCTTTGGTTCTTATCATAAAGCATCAGGGAATACTGATGTCCTTTGGCTTAATTGAGGAAGAGCTAGAAGAAAAACCTGTATTCAATGGCATCACTCGTAAAGTCCAAACTATTTAAAAAATGGAGGGCCAATAGGAATTTCGATGTTGACTTGAATACATTTTCTCCATACAGGCTGGAGGCACACTATAACTGCAGTTTTGATTATGTTGAAATCTTTGATGGATCATTAAATAGCAGTCACCTGCTGGGGAAAATCTGTAATGATACCAGGCAAATATTTACATCTTCTTACAACCGAATGACCATTCACTTTCGAAGTGACATCAGTTTCCAAAACACCGGCTTTTTGGCTTGGTATAACTCTTTCCCAAGCGGTAAGTGCACACTAGACCATGCCTACGAGGCTTGGCGGATTTACCCAGCTGCCTCTTTGGGGGCATCATGGTTCCCCAAGGAAATCAACGAAGGGCCTCAGCGATGCATTGCCCATTCTCCTTCTCTTAGCACTGGCTGTGTGAGCCTCAAGGAGGGGCAGGCCCTTGGGAAGGCAGCAAAGGGTGCAGACTGGGGGGTCACACCTGGCCTTGGGTCTGCCACCAACTTTCCGGGGGACCTAGTGACTCTCCTTGCAGAGCCACCCTTCTCTGTCTGGAGGTGAGGGGATCTGAGCTTGGTGATGTCTGAAGCCCCTTTCAGCTCTGCGTGGAGTGGTCCAGTACCTCCACTCCAGCTTTTCCACATTTCTATTTGATGACTGTGGAGGTGGGGAAAGGCCTGTGGGATGCTTGGCCTTTGAGGTTTGTTGTGGGACATTTGCTGTGGGAAATGGCCATGATTTCCCAGTTAATGTGTCTTTCAGATGCCACCTTGAGGTTGGTCAATTTAAACTCATCCTACGGTCTATGTGCTGGGCGTGTTGAAATTTACCATGGTGGCACCTGGGGGACAGTTTGTGATGACTCCTGGACCATTCACGAAGCTGAGGTGGTCTGCAGACAGCTGGGGTGTGGACGTGCAGTTTCAGCCCTTGGAAACGCCTATTTTGGCGCTGGCTCTGGCCCCATCACCCTGGACGACGTAGAGTGCTCAGGGTCGGAATCCACTCTCTGGCAGTGCCGGAACCGAGGCTGGTTCTCCCACAACTGTCGTCACAACGAAGATGCTGGTGTCATCTGCTCAGGTATGGCCCAATGCCATGGAAGGCCCATTTCACCTGTAACCTACTATAAAGGGAGAGCTTAAGGCCAGTGGCTGATGGTGTCTGTGGCCCAGGCAGGAGCTGGTCATGTGTGCTCGTGGCCTGTGCACTCCAGAAGAGCATGCAGGGGGCTGCTTTATCTTTGGCCAGTTTCTGGACCCAGGGCCATTATGCTGAACACTCATCTGACTAAAGGACCTCCAGCAATGATTCAACTTCTTTATGCTTCAGTTTCCTTGACTGTTGAGTCGGGGTGGCTATGATAGTACTTGCTGCCAGTGACAATTGGGATGATTTTAGAACAATCATGGTCAAGGAGAGAGTGATGGGTGTTATGACCTCAGCTGTAATCCTGATGACCACAAGTATGACGGGATTTAGGGAGCATCTGGGGAAGCTGTGAAGGCTTCTCAACAGCAATTGCTCGGTGGACCTGGGGGTCCTCGACAAGGGGGTCAGGTTATGAGCCATGTACGTGTATCTCTGCCTCATTCTGGCCCCTCCTCAAAGCCACATGCCTGTGACCTATGCTTTTCTTCTATTCCTTTTCAGGAAACCCACTATCGACACCTGGTAAGTCCCCCCGATTTCCATTCCACTTCCCTAGTCTCCAGGTCTCTCCATTGCTGCTGCCTAGACTGTGCAGGGCGTGTTGCTCACTCTCCAAGGAGTTTATCTGTGGTGCCCTCCTCTATAGCCCCTGTCCCCTCCCCTGCCAGCCACCAGGACAGTGTGCCCGTCTCTGTGCTTCAGTGGCTTGGCCCACCTAAGAGTAGGATCTCCAGTCAGTCCCGAGGTGAGGCCTGCCACCTGTCAGATTTTCCTGTCCTCGCAGACACTAGACCCTGACCAGTGCTGGCCAAATGGGGCCCACTGCATCGCTAAGCTCCTCCCTGCCTGCTCCTGAGCTGCTCTGAGTGTTCCCAGCATGGCTCTGGCACCTCAGGTCTTTCCTTTCCAATATCACCTCCCATCCCTGCTTGCCTTGTCATCTCGTCTGGCCTCCCACAGCAGCAGCTTCAGGCCTGCCCCTCTCATCCATTCTCCACTGTGCAGCCCCTTCAAGTGATTCCTCAGGGTCTTCTGGTGGTGACCCCCTCCTCAGCACAGCATGACTGCCAGGCTCCCTATGCTTGGTGCCCTCTCCCCCTCCGCTGCCTGCTCCATCCACATGGAGGTTCCCAAATCTCTTCCACCTGGGTGCAGTTGCACCTGCTGTTCCTCTGCCTGGGACACCCTGTTTCTACCTCTTTGCCTGCCCTCTAATTACTGCCCTTTTTTCCCCATTCCATTTGGGGCAGGGGCCAGACTTCCAGGCTCCTCTCCTTCCCCAGGCTTTGGTCAATCTCAGCCTCTTCCCACTCTGCTGGGATTCGCTCTCCTCCAGACCTCCCCAAGGGCAAGTGAGCTCCCCAAGGGCAAGGCCTGTGTCCAGCTCCTCCCTGTGGACTCAGGCTTGGCACAGCATCTGCACAGCTCACAAGCAGTCGACAGCTGTGCCAGGGATGCCGGAAAACTGATCCTGATCTTTTCTTTTTGTCAACAGCTCCTTTTCTCAACGTCACCCCTCCAAACAGTAAGTTCTGAGCTCCCTGATGAGTCTGTGGCAGAGTGGCCTGGAAATCCCCCTTCCCATTTCCTCAGTGACAATGGGGCTGGGGAGGAGACGGCTTCCCCCAAGGTGATCTCCCTGCAAGAGTGCCCCGCCAGCCCTCAGTGGATGGTCCAGATCTAGGCCACCTCTTGCTTTTATTTGGTTTCTGTCTTGGGAATTATTTTTTAAATTTTTAAAGTAATTTAAATTTAAAATAGTCCCCAGGTGACTGTGTGCTCTGGGGGTCCCCGACATTCCCGTTTTTTGTCCTGACAGCAAATTATTCCTGTGGAGGCTTCCTGTCCCAACCATCAGGGGACTTTTCCAGCCCATTCTATCCCAGGAACTATCCGAACAATGCCAAGTGTGTGTGGGACATTGAGGTGCAAAACAACCACCGTGTGACGGTGGTCTTCAGAGATGTCCAGTAAGTGTGTGCCAAGAAGAATGCCTTGGGGCCTCACAGACCTTTCAAGAGGGAATAAATGGTACTTAGAACATCAGGAGAGATGTTTGCTGGGAGACATTTTTGAACTAGCCCAGAGGCATCCCGTGCAGAGTTGGGGAGGGAGCACAAGAGCCTTGGACTGGACAAAAGCTCTGGTTTCAAGTCCTAGGTCTGCCACCAATTTGCTGTGTGACCACAGGAAGTCACTTAACTTTCCTGAGCCTCAGTCAAAAGAGGGGAATAAAATACCTGCTCTCCTCACCTCATTGGTTACTGGGAAGGTCACGAGAAAGAGAGAGGAGAGAGAGGGAGAGAGATGTGAAAATATTTACAAAATGTTGTCCAATGGAAAAGATGGTTGTTAAGTAGTAATGATAGACTTAGGGGCAATAATAGCACAAATAATCCTATTAGCAACCACACTGGCCAGGTATGGTGCCTCAGGCTTGTAATCCCAACAGTTTGGGAGGCTGAGGCCGGAGGATCACCTGAGCCCAGGAGTTCAAGACCAACCTGAGCAACATAGGGAGACCCCCATCTCTATGAAAAAAAAAATACAAAAATTAGCTGGGCATGGTGGCCTGCACCTGTAGTCCCAGCTACCCAAGAGGCTGAGGTGGGAGAATCGCCAGAGCCCTGGAAGTTCAACATTGTGGTGAACTATGATAGCGCCAGTGCACTCCAGCTTGTGGAACAAAGCGAGACCCTGTCTCAGGAAAGCAAAACAAAACAAAACAAAAAGAACAATTGTATCAGCTTTGTGGAGCCCTTTTTCTCCACCCTCTCCTTTCTTCATGTGAGTTCCCAGGGATCAGGGAGAGATGGAGGAATTGCTGCTGCAGAGGGTAGGGTATCTGCTCTGCATCCAATCACAAGTAGAAATCATTGTTTTAAGCAGAGGGGACATTACTAAAAGCACTTTTCTTTTCTTTCTTTCTTTTTTTTCTTTTTTTGACACAGAGTCTCGCTCTGTCACCCAGGCTGGAGTGTAGAGGCACGGTCTTGGCTCACTCTAACCTCTGCCTCCTGGGTTCAAGCGATTCTCCTGCCTCAGCCTCTCAAGTAGCTGAGATTACAGGCGCACACCACAATGCCTGGCTAATTTTTGTATTTTTATTAGAGATGGGGTTTCACCGTGTTGGCCAGGCTGGTCTCTAACTCCTGACCTCAGGTGACCCTCCCACCTCAGCCTCCCAAAGTGCTGGGATTACAGGTGTGAGCCACCATGGCTGACATCAAAAGTACATTAATATATGATTTATCCAAGGAGGTGGGTGGCCCAACTGACCACGAAGAGGCACCAGTATTTTCTAGTGTCCTGAACAAGGGGCTACACTAATTTCTTCTCTAACAGCCACTATTGAACAAAATAGTTTTCCCTGTTGATTTCTGTTTGCAGTGGGTTTTGGAGTCTCTGCTTTAGTAATTCATATGGGATTTTGCAAAAGATATATCATTTTATTCTCTTTGTCATTACAATACAAAGATTGCACTTAAAACTTATGCAGTCCTATGGGAAAAGGTTGACCATGAGTGGTTCTTTAACCAGCATCTTGATAGCAATGACCATCACCATTTGTGACATTTTACAAAGCCCTTTTCTGTATGTTGTTTTATTTGAGCTTCACCATAGCCCTCTTCAGCGTGCATGGATCAGATTATTTTGCCTTTGTAAACAGGAAAAGCTTTAGAGAGATTATTTGACTTGCCCAATATTTATTCAGTTATTTATTTCTCTCACTATGAACTCATGCATATTGATTTTATTCTGTGGGGGCACCAGGGGCTTTTCGATAGAAGAAAAATGGTCTAGATCAGGATGCAAGCCCTTCCTTTCCTGATGTAAAGGGCTGACACGTGAGGGGCTGTAGATTTCATATTTGTGACCACAAAGGGCAGGACTAAGACCCAGGCATGGAGGTTGAGGGAAGATGAGACTCTCTTGATTTAAGGAGACCTATGACTTTCTTTTTTTTCAATTTTTATTTTTATTTTTATTTTTTGAGACAGGGCCTCGCTCTGTCGCCCAAACTGGAGTGCAGTGGCACGATCTCGGCTCACTGCAACCTCTGCCTCCCGGGTTCAAGCGATTCTCCTACCTCAGCCTCCTGAGTAGCCGCCCTCACACTACAGGCTTATGCCACCATGCCCAGCTAATTTTTGTATTTTTAGTGGAGACAGGGTTTCACCACATTGGCCAGGCTGGTCTCTAACTTATGACCTCAGATGATCCACCCACCTCAGCCTCCCAAAGTGCTGGGATTATAAGCGTGAGCTACTGTGCCCAGCCAAGGAGACCTATGACTTTCATTGATGAACTTTGTCAGAGTTTCTGGCACAGAGGTGCGACCCCACCCTGAGATCTGACCCCTGTGTCAAATTCTGGGAGGAAATGAAGCCAAATGGTGTTTCCTCTCTCTGCAGGCTTGAAGGTGGCTGCAACTATGATTACGTTGAAGTTTTCGATGGCCCCTACCACAGTTCCCCTCTCATTGCTCGAGTTTGTGATGGGGCCAGAGGCTCCTTCACTTCCTCCTCCAACTTCATGTCCATTCGCTTCGTCAGTGACCACAGCATCACGAGGAGAGGGTTCCGGGCTGAGTACTATTCCAGTCCCTCCAATGACAGCACCAGTAAGTCCCCTTGTGGGAATGATTTGTTGGGACTGGGGACATCCTGAGAGCATCTGTGGCTCAACTGTCCCGTGGTTGTGGAATAAGAAATGAAGGAACCCTTTCAGGTCACCAGGGCTTGATTTTCAGCTGAAAGGGGCCAGGAGTAGTGGGCCTCAGGACTCTGGCTGCCCAGAAATGAAGTCAGGACTAGAACTGGCTGACAGGTGCTGATTGGCCTGTCTGTGGTCAGCAGAGACTAAGTAGAGGGTCCCAGATGATGCTCTTAGTGGAGAGAGATGAGTCAGTGCCAGAGGCAGAGGTGACCTCTTGGCTTGAAACCTTGTGACCTTCTCAGAGTGTGGGACACTGTGTCCGTGGCCTGAGACCTAACACATTTGGCTTCTGTCTGAAGATAGACTGAGCTGGGTGGCTGGAAGTGGCTGAGATAAGGTCACTCAGCCACTTCCAGCAGAGCCTGTATGGCTATGATTTGAGTTGCTGTATGGACTGATGTATAGATTGGCCAAGGGCCAGGCAAGGTGACCTCCAGGGTCTCTTATGCAGTCAGGATTAAAGACTGACTTGCTTCATGGCTAAAAGACTTTGTTTTATGACATTCCCATAATTTGAGCATGCAGTTACTTTCCTTTACAGATAAATGGTAACTTGGCCAAACATTCCACTTATTTAAAAATGCTGCCTCCAGTTCTCCATCAGAGAAATCCTGAGTCCACGTGCTCTCCCTGGGCTTTCATAAGAATGGGGCTGACTTGACCCTAGGGTCCTTGGGGGATTGCAGGGAAGTCTGTGCCCACACCCTAAGTGCCCACCCTCCCTGTCAGCCACCCTGGTCTGTGCACTTTTTAAGTGGAAAGGGCATCTGACTCCGTAGGACTTGTGGAGTCCGGGGCAGTAACTGAGTGCCTTATCTGTCCTTATCTATCAGACCTGCTCTGTCTGCCAAATCACATGCAAGCCAGCGTGAGCAGGAGCTACCTCCAAGCCTTGGGCTTTTCTGCCAGTGACCTTGTCATTTCCACCTGGAACGGATACTACGAGTGTCGGCCCCAGATAACGCCGAGCCTGGTGATATTCACAATTCCCTACTCAGGCTGCGGCACCTTCAAGCAGGTAAGCCTGGGGCTTCCCATTCCATTTCCCAGTGCACGAGCTTTCTTATAGTGGTATGTGCTGTGCTTCTTGAATTCTGGGGATGCAGAAATTATGATTTTGGCATAATCAGGACATAATTGGAATAAAGGAAGATAAAAAACTTTCGTTTTTTTTCCATCAGCAGTAACAACAGCAGCTCCTGGAGCAGCTCCAGATTTTGCAGGGCCCGAAGCTTATAGAATTAGGGTCGGCGGTGAGGGGCAGGTGTTGAGAGGGGCAGGGGCCTCGTTAAGTCAAAGAGTGCAATATCTATAAACTTTTATAAACTTTGTGACAATGTATGGCTGTGCAAACACATTGCTAGGCCTTGGACGAGGCCCGCACATTGCACCAGGCAGGGAAGAGGGGCCCGAAAGCTTCAGCTTCATTAGCTCCACAGTCAGTTGGCCTCTGCAGCTGCCATTTGTTGAGCTATCACCATCTAAGATGGCCCCCTGCGTCCAATTTTGGGTGAAAGTGAAGCCAAAATGGTGTGTCCCTTCTCTATAGGCTTGAAGGTGACTGCAGCTATGGTTATACTGAAGTTTTCAACAGCCCCTACCACAGATTTCTGTGATTTGCCTGGGACTTTGCAGATTTTAGCATAGAAAGTCCCACATTCCAGGAAACCCCTCACTCCCAGGCAAACGAGGACAGTTAGTCACCCTGCAAGTGGCAGATGCTGTGATTAGTCCTTGTCATACTCCTCCAGTGAAGGCTCAGCCTTAATTGTGTTGGGTTCTGGCTTGTGAGTTTGGTCAGTGGAAGTCAGTTCACTGAAGGTGACCACTGTTCCTGTGCCAAGTGTGTAGCCTGGAGACTGCCACCTGAGCAGCCCTGCTGAGAGCCCTTCACACCTGTTCACACCTGTTCACACCCATTCACACCCATTTGGAGCAGCCAGACAATTCTCTCAGCCCTGTTTCTTCTAACTTGGCTGATTATGCACAGCACATTCCACATTCTTATTCCTCCACTTATTTATTTATTTTTATTTTAATTTTTTAATGACAGGTTCTCATTCTGTTGCCCAGGCTGGATGCCCAGGCATGGGTGCATCATAGCTCACAGCAGATCTGAACTCCTGGGCTTAAGCAATCTTCCAGCCTCAGCCTTCAGAGTAGCTGGGACTACAGGCATGTGCCACTACACCCAGCTAATTAAAAAAAATTTTTTTTTGTAGAGGTGGGATCTTGCTATGTGTCCAGGCTGGTCTCAAACTCCTGAGCTCAAGTGATCCTCCTGCCTTGGCCTCCCAAATGCTGGGATTATGGGCATGAATCACTGCTCCTGGCCTCCTCTATTTCTTTAAATAACCATATTTCCTATCACACTGAGTGCCTCAGGGGCAGGGCCAATGTTTTGTTCATCTTTGCAACCCCCAGTGCCCCTGGTCCTGAGCCTGAGAGTTGATATAGTGTTATTAATGGCTCATACAGATATCAGACACTGAACTAAGCGTACTATATAACTTTTAAAATTCTCAGGACAACTTTATTCCCACTTAATTATGAGGCAATGGAGGCTTGCAGAAGGTAAGCCACTTGCCCAGGACCATATGGCCATGAGCTGCGTGTCTAGGACACAGAGGTAGGGCTGTGCCATCCATGGCTGGAGCTTCCCACAGCTCTACCAGGCTGGCCTGTGATAATGAATCTTAATCTAAAATTAGAACTGCTTCTTCTGACCAAGAAATAAATCTGTACTCCACGTTCATTGTTTGGAATGGATTCAGAATTTATCTCCATCGTAGGCACCATAGGCAAAGGTGACGTCCATGCAAATGATCATGTTAATGTACAGGGTTCAATGGAAAGCACCTGAGAGTATCTTTGAAAGACTAAGAAAGGTCATACTGTCACGCGCATCTGTGTGAAAAGACCACCAAACAGGCTTTGTGTGAGCAATAAAGCATTTTAATTACCTGGGGGCAGGCGAGCTGAATCCGAAAAGAGAGTCAGCGAAGGGAGATAGGGGTGGGGCCGTTTTATGGGATTTGGGTAGGTAGTGGAAAATTACAGTCAAAGGGGGTTGTTCTCCGGCAGGCAGGGGTGAGGGTCACAAGGTGCTCAGTGGGGGAGCTTCTGAGGCAGGAGAAGGAATTTCACAAGGTAATGTTGTCAGTTAAGGCAGGAACTGGCCATCTTCACTTTTTTTGTGATGTTTCAGTTACTTCAGGCCATCTGGACGTATACGTGCAGGCTCAGGCTCAGAGACCTGACATTCCTGTCTTCTTATATTAATAAGAAAAATAACATAAAATAGCATTGAAGTGTTGGGGCAGCGAAAATTTTTTGGGGGGTGGTATGGAGAGATAATGGACAATGTTTCTCAGGGCTGCTTTGAGCGGGATTAGGGGCTGTGTGGGAACCTAGAGTGGGAAGGATTAAGCTGAAGGAAGATTTTGTGGTAGGGGGCGATATTGTGGGGTTGTTAGAAGGAGCATTTGTCATACAGAATGATTGGTGATTGCCCGGATGCAGTTTTGTATGAATTGAAATGAAATGGAAGACACAAGATCTGAATAAGAGAGGGAGAAAAACAGGTATTAAAGGACCAAGAATTGGGAGGACCCAGGATATCCCATTAGAGAGTGCCCAAGGGGATTCAGCATAATTATTTGCTTGGTTGGTGAGTTTTTGGGCTCTATTCTTGAGTTTTTTTATGTTGTCGTACACCAGGCCAGATTGATTTAGGTAAAAACAACACTTTTCATTAAAAAATATACAGAGTCCCCTTTCTTCAGTAGTGAGTAAGTCGGGGCTTCGGTGATTTTGGAAGAAAGAGAAATGCAAAGCCAGCAACTGTTTGTTAAAGAAGGATTAGAAATGGCTAGGAGAGAGTGAGTGAGATTGATAGTGTGGTGGAGATAGCTGGGGAGAGGTAGAGGGTGGCTTAAGAATAAGAAGGAGAATAAGATTTTGAGTATAAAAGTAAAGAATAGGACTTCAGGGTGAAAGTATTGGAGCGTACTTCCTGTCAGCAAAGATTATCTATCCACTTTAAGAGAGACTTAAGGGTGGTGGTTTGAGATAAAACCAGGACATATCAGTTATGATGGTTTGAAGGAAAAGTGTAAACTGGCAGAGTAGTTGAGAATGGTGAATAGGAGTATGACTAGACAGAAGACAGTAGGGATGACAAGTTTTTGGGGTGCAATTCAAGTTGGGCTAGCGTCTGGAATGAGACTGAGGCCTAATAAAAAGGAGCGTCCATACAGGAGTCCAAATGGGCTGTACCCTGTAGCATCCCGGGGACAGGCTCTAATTCTGAGAAGGGCAAGAGGTAAAAGTACCGTCCAGTCCTTTTTAAGTTGTAGGCTGAACTTGGCAAGGTGTGTCTTTAAAAGACTATTAGTCCGTTTTACCTTTCCTGAAGATTGAGGACAGTAAGGGGTATGAAGGTTCCACCGAATACCAAGAGCCTGAGAAACTGCTTGGGTGATTTGACTAGTAAAGGCTGGTCCATTATCAGACTATATAGACGTGGGAAGGCCAAACCGAGGAATTATGTCTGACAGAAGGGAAGAAATGACCGCGGTGGCCTTCTCAGACCCTGTGGGAAAGGCCCCTACCCATCCAGTGAAAGTGTCTACCCAGACCAAGAGGTATTTTAGTTTCCTGACTCCAGGCATGTGAGTAAAGTTAATTTGCCAGTTCTGGGTGGGGGTAAATCCCCAAGCTTGATGTGTAGGGAAGGGAGAGGGCCTGAGAAATTCCTAAGGAGTAGTAAGATAGCAGATGGAACACTGAGAAGTGATTTTTTGAGGATAGATTTTTATGATGGAAAGGAAATGAGAGGTTCTAAGAGGCAGGCTAGCAACTTATAACTTACATGGAAGAGGTTATGAAATGATGACAGAATAGAATGGGCCTGTGAGGCTGGAAGGAGATATTTTCCTTGGTCCAAGAACTATTTACCTTGTGTGGGAAGAGATTGATAGGTGGCAGTTTCAGTTGGGGAGTAGGTGAGAGTGAGTGATGAGAAGGAGAAAAACTGGCCATAAGGGACAGAAGTTGGAACGCTAGCTGCTCCTTTAGCTACCTTATCAGCATAAGCGTTGCCCTGAGCGATGGGATCTGACTCCTTTTGATGGCCCTTGCAGTGAATGACTCCAGCTTCCTTTCAAAGTAAAGCAGCCTTGAGAAGAGTTTTTATTAAAGAGGCATGAATGATGGAGGACCCTTGCGTAGTGAGGAAACCTCTTTCTGCCCATATAACAGCATGGTGGTGCAGGATATGGAAGGCATATTTAGAGTCAGTATAAATATTAATGTATAGTCCTTTTGCAAGAGTGAGGGCCTGAGTTAAGGCAATGAGTTCGGCTTGCTGAGAGGTAGTGGACGGGGGCAAAGCAGTAGCCTCAAGGATAAATGTGGAAGATACTATAGCATAGCCTGCCTTTGCTGGTGAGTAGTGATTAGGCCTGGTTGAACTGCCATCAATAAACCAAGTGTGATCAGGGTGAGGAACATGAAAGAAGGAAACATGGGGAAATCGTGAATGCCAGGTGGATTAGAGAGATACAGTCATGGGGTTGTGGTATCAGGAATAATTTGGGAGGCTGGATTGAAGTCCAGGCCAGGAACAATGGTAATTGTGGGAGACTCAAAAAAGAGTGAATGTAGTTGAAGGAGCCAGGGAGCAGAAAGTATATGCGTCAGGTGTGAGGAAGAAAATAAGATTTTGGAGGTCATGAGAACTGTAGAGAGTGAGTTGAGCATAGTTTGTGATTTTGAGGGTCTCTAAAAGTATCAGGGCAGTGGCAGCTGCCACACGCAGACATGAGGGCTAGGCTAAAACAGTAAGGTCAAGTTGTTTGGAAAGAAAGGCTACAGGGTGCAGTCCCAGGTCTTGTATAAGAATTCTGACTGCATAGCCCTGTACTTCGGCTGTGTGTAATGAAAAGGATTGGGATGAGTTAGGGAGAGCTCATGTAGGAGCAGCTTTTAGGGCTGTTTTTTACGGATGGAAAGGGGAGTGAGGAAAGGATTTAGGATTTATGGGGTCAACTAGCATTTCTTTTGTGAGTTTATATAATGGTTTAGCCAGGATGGTAAAACTAGGTATTTAAAGGCAGAAGTATCCAACCACGCCCAGGAAGGAAAGGAATTGTTGTTTTGTAGAAGGGGTTGGGGTTTTGGAGATTAGCCAGACACGATTAGCAGGGAGAGCACATGTATTTTTATGAAGAATTATGCTGAGATAGGTAATGAATGAGGAAGAAATTTGGGCTTTGGAGGGGGATACGCAATATTCTTTTGAGAATAGATGTTGGAGGAGCAGAAGGGTGTCCTGTTGGGAAGATTTGTAGGAGGGGCTATAAAGTAGAAGGTTGTCAAAATATTTAATAAGGTGAGAAGCAGATGGATGGAAAGAGAGTAAATCATGAGAAAAGGCTTTACTGAAGTAATGAGGGCTGTCCCTAAAGCCTTGTGGCAGTACAGCCCAGGTAAGCTGCTGGGACTGATGGGTGTCAGGGTCAGTCCAGGTAAAAGCAAAGAGAGGCTGGGATGAGGGGTGCAGGGGAATAGTGAAAAAAACATCTTTAAGATTAAGAATGTGGAATAGTGAGTTGTGGAGGAAGGTATTGAGGACAAAAGAGTGTATGGGTCGGGCACCACAGGGTGGACAGGCAGAACGATTTGGCTGATAAGGCGCAGATCCTGAACTAACCTGTAAGACTTGTCCAGTTTTTGGACAGGTAAAAGGGGGAATTTTAAGGAGCGTTTATAGGCTTTAAAAGGCCATGCTGTAATAGGCGAGTGATAATGGGCTTTAATCCTTTTAAAGCGTGCTGTGGGATGGGATATTGGCGTTAAGCTGGGTAAGTGTGATTAGGTTTTAATGGGATGGTAAGGGGTGCATGATCGGTCACCAAGGAGGGAGTAGAGGTGTCCCATACCTGTGGATTAAGGTGGGGAGATACAAGGGGAGGATGCAAAGACGGCTTTGAACTGGGGAAGAGGGCAGCAATCGGGCATGGCTATCACCTAGGAATAGGGAGGGAAGCAGATAATTTAGTTAAAATGTCTCCACCTAATAAGGGAGCTGGGCAGGTGAGGATAACTAAAAAGGAGTGCATAAGAGAATGTTGTCCAAGTTGACATCAGAGATGGGGAGTTTTAAGAGGTTTAGAAGCCTGGCCATCAATACCCACAACAGTTATAGAGGCAAGGGAAACAGGCCCTTGAAAAGAAGGTAATGTGGAGTAGGCAGCCTCCATATTGATTAAGAAGGGGATGGACTTACCCTGCACTGTAAGAGTTGCCTAAAGCGTCCATGATGGTCCAGGAGGCTTCCGAGGCGATGGGGCAGCATCAGTCTTCAGCCACTAAGCCGAGAAGATCTGGGAAGGAGTCAGTCATAGAGCCTTGGGCCAGAGTTCCAGGGACTCTGGGAGTGGCGGCCGGGTGAGCTGGAGAGTCCGATTTCCAGTGGGATCCTGCACACATGGGACACAGCTTGGGAGGAATCCCAGGCTGCGGGCATTCCTTGGCCCAGTAGCCAGATTTCTGGCACTTGAAGCAAGATCCCGATGGAGGAGGTCCTGTAGGAATGTTTGACCACTGTGGCTTAGGCATTTTGAAGTTCTTGTGTGCTGGAGATGTGGCTGGGGTTTCTCTCACAGTGGAGGCAAGGAATTGCAACTCAGAAATGTGTTGCTACTTAGTTGCCTCTATTATTGTACATCTTGAAGGCGAGGTTAATTAAGTCCTGTTGTGAGGTTTGAGGGCCAGAATCTAATTTTTGGAGCTTTATTTAATGTCGGGATCAGATTGGGTAATAAAATGCATATTGAGAATAAGACAGCCTTCTGATCCTTCAGGGTCTGGGGCTGTAAAGCATCTCAGGGTTGCTGCCAAACAAACCATGAACTGGGCTGGGTTTTTATATTTGATGAAAAAGAGCCTAAACGCTAACTGATTTGGGAGAGGTCAGATAAAGAAAAAGGAGCATTAACCTTGACTATGCCTTTAGCTTCCTCTTTAAGAGGAAATTGTTGGGCGGGTGGGGGAGGGCTAGTCGCAGAACAAAACTGTAAACCGGACCAGGTGTGAGGAGGGGAGGTGATAGAAGGATTATAGGGTGGGGGAGTGGAGGCTGAGGAAGAACTGGATCCTGATTCAGTCAGGTGGGGAGCGACCTGAGAAGTAGCAGTCTGGGTAGGAGGGGAGAGGTCAGATGGGTAGGTAGAAAAGGAAGATTGAAAAGACTCAGCGACCCTTGGGGTTGGGACTGAGGGGACAGGCGGGAGGGAAAGGAGGAGGATTTGGGATGAGTCGCACTGGGAACAGAGACTAGGGAGTGACGGATGATGTGTAAAAGAATGCCTGGACGTCAGGCACCTCAGACCATTTGCCCATTTTACGACAAGAATTATCTAGATCATGTAGGATGGAAAAATCAAAAGTGCCATTTTCAGGCTATTTGAAACCACTGTCAAGTTTGTAGTGGGGTTAAATGGCATTGCAGAAGAAAAGAAGGCATTTAGGTTTTAGGTCAGGTGTGAGTTGAAGAGGTTTTAAGTTTTTGAGAACACAGGCTAAGGGAGGAAAAGGAGGAATGGAGGGTGGAAATTTGCCCATAGTGAAGGAGGCAAGGCCAGAGAAAAGAAAGGATAGAGACACGAGAGAAGGGGTTGGGGGTGCTTGCCCCCCAGAAAAGCGGTGATTGCCACTAAGGGTGAAGGATCAAGGCAGGCATCCCTGCAGTGATCAGACACCTCTGAAACATGGAATAATCAAGCAGGCATCCCCACAGTGATTAAACACCAAGGGGAGACTGTCTTCCTGAGTCTGTGACTGGCGCCGGAGTTTTGGGTTCATGGATAAAACGTGTCTTCTCTATCTCTACCAGGAAAGGAAAGGAACTGAAATTAAGAGAAGGCAGAGATTGAAGGAAGGCGCCAAGATTGAAAGGAGAAAGAGGCTGAGGGACAGTGAGAGAGGTTGGAGAAGAGAGTAAAAAGTGGCCACTTACCTGATTTAAAATTGGTGAGATGTTCATCGGGCTGGTCGGTCTGAGGACCAGAGGTCATAGGTGGATCTTTCTCATGGAACAAAGAGCAGGAGGACAGGGGATTGATCTCCCAAGGGAGGTCCCCCAATCTGAGTCACGGCACCAAATGTCACACACATCCATGTGAAAAGACCACCAAACAGGCTTTGTGTGAGCAATAAAACTTTTTAATCACCTGGGTGCAGGTGGGCTGAGTCCAAAAAGAGCGTCAGTGAAGGGAGATAGGGGTGGAGGCCATTTTATAGGACTTGGGTAGGTAGTGGAAAATTACAGTCAAAGCGGGTTGTTCTCTGGTGGGCAGGGGTAGGGGTCATAAGGTGCTCAGTGAGGGAGCTTCTGAACCAGGAGAAGGAATTTCACAAGGTAATGTCATCAGTTAAGGCAGGAACTGGCCATTTTCACTTCTTTTGTGATTCTTCAGTTACTTCAGGCCATCTGGATGTTTATGTGCTGGCTTAGGCTCAGAGGCCTGACAATACGGTTTATTGTGGTCATATGGTTTAAGTCATATGATTTATTGTGACAACTGTTGGTACTGAAATATAAAGCAAAAAAAAAATTTTTAAGACAGTTTAGAGTCAGAAAATGTAGCTAAGAGCAGGTGGGCAACGTAGAACCCCTTCCTGTGGGTCTTCCCCAGACCTGGAACCAGAGTGTGGGCTCTGGCATCCTCTGCTGCCTCATAGCTAAAGGACAGGCATGTGCCATCGCCATCTCTGAGTGGTTCTGGGAGGGGTGGAAGTCTTGCTGAATCATGTCCCTCTCATTCACACCCAAATCAGCTGTGGGATTCCCTTAGCAGGTGACATGTGCCTGACTCTGCTCTCTTGCCTGCCTCTCCTAGGTAGACAATGACACCATCGACTATTCCAACTTCCTCACAGCAGCTCACGTGGCATCACGTGGCATCATCACAAGGAGGAAGAACTTCCGTATTCACCTCAGCTGCAGGATGCTTCAGAACACCTGGGTCAACACCATGTACATTGCTAATGACACCATCCAGGTCGAGGAAGTCCAGTATGGCAATTTTGACGTGAACATTTCCTTTTATACTTCCTCCTCTTTCTTGTATCCTGTGACCAGCCACCCTTACTATGTGAAGCTGAACCAGGACTTGTACGTTCAGGCTGAAATCCTCCATTCTGATGCTGCACTGACCTTGTTTGTGGACACCTGCGTGGCATCACCATACTCCAATGACTTCACGTCTTTGAATTATGATCTAATCCGAAGTGGGTAAGGAGTGTCTTTATGCGATGGCCTTAAATCTTTACTTGATAACTCAAACATGAGTAGCCCTAAAGGCTTAAAGAATGCAAATTTTGATGGACTGCAGTTCCCAGTACTTCAAGCTTAACTAGATCCCTTTCTACATGTAGTAACATCCTGTAGCTTTTACCTTTGAGGTGATTTTACTCTGTGTTCTGTATCACATCCCTGATTTCTCATCAGGTAGGATGACCATGTATCATCTCCAGTTAACATCTGGGGAGGTGGGTGTCTGGAGAATAGAACAGCTCAGCAGTGTTCACTCAGCAGGTTAGCTGCAAACTGGGATTAGACTCCAGGTGACTGAACTCCAGCCATATGGTTAAAAAGACCTACGTATAGTGGGAAAAGCATTGATTTGCAGCAGACCAAGTTGAAATGTCAGCTCTGCCACGTGCCAGTTGCATGATTCTGGGCCAGTGAAAGCAACTCTATGGCCCAGCTGCTCGCCTGTCAGGTAGGGATAATGACACACACATCGTAAGGCTGTTGGGAGGATGAGATGAGAGAGAGTGGACGGGGCACTGAGCACAGACAGTGTGCGGCAGGTGGTGCACCAGGAATGTGCACTGAAGATGGCAGGAGCCCTGCTGCCCTCCTTCAGTCTGGGAATAGAAGCTCTGGGAGTCCATGGTTCTAGTCAAGCTCAGGGGGTGCAGAGGTCAGGCCAGGAGTGTCAGGCTGGGGCCAGAGGGTGTCCAGGCTGGGCTGCTCTACCACAGCCCAGCTTCCTGGGATGACTGCACGTGGATGAGGTGGGGTTTGACTCTTCTGCACTCACGACAACACCATGATGTGCAACTCCAGCCCCCTCTGAAGTCTCTGTTGATGGGTGTGTACCATGCTTCTTGGCTTACAATATAGACCTGGACACTTCAGTAGCCATTGCCTTCCAAGATAATTTATACCAATAGGGTAAAGGGTTCTGCTAGGAATTAGAAGTGGGTGGATTCAATTCAACACCCCCTTGATATGCTAAGCATAACACCTCTTCCCAGGCACAGTGTGAACATATGTCAGTTCAGTAAGCAGGTGTTGAGGCTCATCTTGTTCACAGTCTATGCACTTTGTTCAATTCACAGCAGCCCCCTTGGTGGCTGAGAGGAGGGGAGAAAGCTTAACCAGATTCCCTTTGTACAAAGAGTCATCAGGTGACATTTAAATTTGTGTGAATTGATTGACATTAATGAAAACGAGTGGGTGACTTAGTTCTTCCCTGCCAAAGGATCCTTTCTGGTCAAATCCTGCCATTTATATATGACAATGCAATTTGCTGGGAAGATGGGGATGTGTGTGCAGGGGTAGATGCACCCTGGCTATATCTGGAGCACAGGGAGTTATTGGCTATCGCTGGCCATCAACAAGATCATGCACCTGGATGTACATTAGAATGACCGGGGCTCCAAACACACCCTGCCCAGGCCCCACCCATACATTCTCTGTATTTGGCCTAGTGGGGCCTGGGTTACATTTAAAAAATCTTGAGTGATTCTGAGGTGGACTCTTGGCTGTGGCTTCGCTGTGGCATTCTGGTCTGCCTGAAGCCCTGAATGGCAGGGTTTGATGGCAAATACAATGACTGCCCGGGGGCTTCTGAGTGACCCTGACCTTTTTCCCCAGTGTCCCACCTCTGAACAAGCCTCCAGCTATTTTTGATTCCTCCTTTGCCACTAAGGGAGTTACTGTGGGAAAAAAAAAAAACATCTTGGTATTTGAGAGAATCTGGGTTGCCTATGGAGGAAAGAAGGAGGCTCTAGAAGACAGAAGGAGGGGAGCAGATCCTGGCCAGGTTCCCAGGCTGAGCCAGACTGCCCTGGAGACCACACCCACCACCCATGAGAAATGCCCATCCTAGGCCGGTGGGCCAACTTTCCTGGCTCTTCTGTTTGCCGCACCCTTCAAAATCCCACCAATCTATAATAACTGGGTTAGTGTGAGCTGCTTCTTCCATATCTTAGGAAAATTCCTGTAAGCATATCCTTAGGTTATTTTCCTTCTGACAGTGGCTGAGAGGAGGTGCCCAAGGGAATGAGGAAGGGGTTGATATCGGGGTAGGGGCTACTGGAGGGTTCGCAGGCCAGTGTGGAAAGTACAGTTGCATAGGGCTCAGGGCAGGCTGACGAGGGTCAGGAGAGAGAGGCCCTGGGAGAGGGAGGGCCAGGGCACTGTACTCAGAGTGCAGCCCAATGAGACACTGCCTGGCCCTGACACCAGGAGAGAGAAGGGAAGGTCATTTCCTTTTCTGCTCTGTCTCTGGGTCCCGCTCCTGGGCGCCAAACTCCAGCTACTTCCCTGACTCACCAGGCTTACCTGGGTACATGGAGCGTGTGGTCATTGTGGAATTAGGCTGCAACCCACTATGCAGTATGGGGCCTGCGTGTCTATCGGGAAAACCCCTGCAGGCTTTGCTACCTAAAGATGGTGGTGAGGTACCAGAGCTGCCAGGATTTGTCTGCAGGCCCCACAGTGAGTGTCTGATCCACACGTTCTGACAGAAGGAAAGTCAGGTGTGCAGGAGGCAAGGGCAGTGAGGACAGGCTGTGGAGTTCCTCACCTGGCATAACTGAGTCATGAAGAAAGAATTGGGCCTTGGTGAGAGCTAAAGGGCTACTGTTCTCTTCCAGATGCGTGAGGGATGACACCTACGGATCCTACTCCCAGCCGTCTCCTCGCATTGCCCGCTTCCGGTTCAGGGCCTTCCACTTCCTGAACCGCTTCCCCTCCGTGTACCTGCGTTGTAAAATGGTGGTGTGCAGGGCGTATGACCCCTCTTCCCGCTGCAACCGAGGTTGTGTGATGAGGTCCAAGAGGGATGTGGGCTCCTACCAGGAAAAGGTGGACGTCGTCCTGGGTCCCATCCAGCTGCAGACCCCCCCACGCCTAGAAGAGGAGCCTCAGTAGGTGGTCGCTCTCAGACCCCACTGCCCACCGGGGCACAGACCCCTGACTCTCGGGGACTTGGGATGTTTCTCTTGGTGTCATACTCCAACTCAAATTGAGCTCTACACTGTGCTGCACCTGGTCATACAGAGTTGAATCAGACCTGGTTCCTGCCTTCCCCAAGGCTCATGGTCCTTAGAGGACCCATTGCAGGGCGAGGTCAAGAGAGTTCTGACCTGGATGGCCCATAGACCTGACGTCCTAGAATCCATGCTTCTCACCTGTGAAATGAAAATGTCAATACTTACTTCTTAGCACTGTTGAGAGGGTTACATAAAAGAATTTTGGTGAAACTGCCTCAGCCTGTTCCTGGTGCAAGTCACTGAGTGCTTGGTAAATGGTAGTTTTTGTTACTCCTGTTGTCACCCATGTTAACAACACTAATGATGACAGTATTCCTCACAATGATAGTAACTATAACAGCAGACATGTTGACATCAGGGTCTAGACAGGGCCATGGGGATGCCAGCTGCATCGATTTGTCCTGACTGCTGGCAGGCTCCGCTCGGCACAAGCCATGTCACTTTTCTCCTCTGGAACAGGGAGTGCACCCGCTGCTGTGTTGCTGTGCTGCTGTGCTGCTGTGCTGCTGTGTTGCTGTGTTGCTCTGTTGTTGTGTTGCTGTATTGTGTGCTGCTGTGTTGCTGTGCTGCACTGTTGCTGTGCTGCTCTCCTGCTCTGCTGCTCTGCTGCTGTGCTGCTGTGCTGCTGTGCTGCTCTGCTGCTGTGCTGCTGTGTTGCCTGAGCTCCTGTGCTGCTGTGCTGCTGTGCTGCTCTCCTGCTGTGCTGCTGTGCTGCTGTGCTGCTCTGCTACTGTGCTGCTGTGCTGCTGTGTTGCCTGAGCTCCTGTGCTGCTGTGCTGCTCTGCTGCTGTGCTGCTGTGCTGCTGTGTTGCCTGAGCTGCTGTGCTGCTGTGCTGCTGTGCTGCTGTGTTGTTCTGTTGCTGTGTTGCTGTGCTGCTGTGCTGCTGTGTTGTTCTGTTGCTGTGTTGCTGTGCTGCTGTGTTGCTGTGCTGTTGTGTTGCCGTGTTGTGGACATGGATGAGGGAATGAATGTTCGCAGAGTGATGCCCAGGATTTCTGGCCCAGTCTGGGGCCAGGTCAATGGATGTGGTGGCAGTGGTATTGGGGATGGGTAGGGCAGCAGTAGTTGTCCCAAACCCTCTCCTTGTTCAGGGCGCTGTCCATGGGGCATCTTTGACAGCTCTCTCTCTTCTTTATTCCTATTCAGGCCGTCTTTATGTCCAGCTGATTCCAGACTCTTTCCTTACTTGTTCATTCATTCGATGCATGTTTAATGAAGGAATATTATGCACCAGGAGGCAGATAAAGTCTTGCAGGAAAAGATACAATTCAGAATAAGTCTCATGAATGGAGCATGCAATGGGGTTGCAGTGAGGAGCAAAGGACATCAGGGTAGGGCGATAGGCGCCTGTGGGCACAGGCTCACTTCCCTCCTCTTCCTCCTGTTCCCTGCAGCTGCTGTAGTAGCTCACGTCCTGGAGGCCTGTTACCTGGGACTCTTGTAATCATTTCCCAGCTGGTCTAAAATGCCCAATTCTCTCCCCTCCCATCCATCTGGAGCCTCAGGCCAGATTCGTTCTGCCAAAGCCCAGTTCCCAGTTCTTGCTAAGAAAACCTTCCCTGACTCTCCTTGGCTGACAAACGTGAAATCTCTCTAGTCCGACAGTCAGCTGCCCATTGGGGTCTGGCCTCAGTTTCCCATTCAGCACTTCCTTCTCCAAGTTTTTTATCCCTTCCCACCAAACAGTTCTGATTGTCTTTACCATGCCCAGGGGGCCACGGCCTTTACTTGTCTTCCTCTCCTCCTCTGCCGGGCTCTGTCCTGGTCCCCACTCTATTATTGTGGTCTCCTATCCTTACCAGACGTGTTGGTGGCTGACACCAACTGGAGACAGCCAGCTCCCAGGGGAGCTATCACAGCACTGCTATCTCTGCTGGGGTCTTCCTGGCTGTGGTCCTGGCTGTGGTGGCCTTCACCCTGGGGAGGAAGACACATAGCACCAGTGGCCGGCCTCTGAGCTCCAAGATGTGAAGTGCAGAGAAGGTCTTTAGATATTGGCTCTGTCAGCCCAGGCACCCGAGAGAGGATGGAAGAAACAAGGGTGCAGAGCTTGGGGCCCGGCAGCACCTGAACTCCATTTGCCTTGGCACAGGTGTATGGTAGTGTGGGTGGAGGTGGGGTGAAGAAAGGTGGGGCCCAGGTTTTCCCCAGATCCAAAGGCTCAGTTCTGGGGCAAAATGTCAAAGGTAAATGGGTGCTAACTCTAAAGTCTCACATTTTTTTTTTTTTTTTTTGAGACAGACTCTTGCTCTGTTGCCCAGGCTTGAGTGCAGTGGCACAATCTCAACTCACTGCAACCTCCGTCTCCCGGGTTCAAGCAATTTTTCTGCCTCAGCTTCCCTAGTAGCTGGGATTACAGACACGATAGACCATGCCCAGCTAAGTTTTGTATTTTTAGTAGAGACAGGGTTTCATCGTGTTGGCCAGGCTTGTCTCAAACTCCTGACTTCGAGTGATCTGCCCACCTAGGCCTCCCAAAGTGCCAGGATTACAGGCGTGAGCCACTGCACCTGGCCTCTTTTCTGACCTTTTATAAGCTCGCTTCTTAGGCCTGTACCATAAATCTCAGCCTTTCCTTAGGGTAGAGCCAACTGAACAAAGAATCTTTTTCAGAGTAAGTGTCAGTTTGGATACTGTTTACTTTATTTCCCCTAAGAACTAGATCCCTTCAAATGAAGCAGACAGGTGGGGTGGTTGTCATACAGAATGAGAAGGGGCAGCTCGTGTGTCTTCCCAGTGTCCTTGGAGTGATTTTGTTCTTCCCAAAGCAGGATATGCAGGATGCAGCCTGGAGAAAGACAAGAATGCTAACTGCATCGTAAGTTGCAGTGGCTGTGATTGAAAATTAAAGATGATTGCCTCCATTTCTCTAGGGATCTGCCTGTTGGTTTTTGACACATCCTCTCCAGAACTGTGGACTGGGGCGGTTCAGGGAAAGAAGCAAACTCCTTAGGGCCCTTAGGAAGAGAGTCCTGTTTGCATGAGGTCTCCAGAGAGAAGGAGATCGACAGGCGACCCAAGGAGCTCAGAAGAAACAAAGGGATGAGCTGGGTTCCAAGGAAGCAGTGAATTTGCCTATAAAATCAGAGAGAAATCAGGCTCAGAACTCCTAGGTTAGGCTTGGCAGGAATGGGAGCTTTTGTTTACTGCCCTGGCAGTGCCAGTGTTTGCCCCATGAAGCCAAATCTCAGGACCCCTGTCCCAAGAGGGGACAGCTCAGACAACCTAACTCTGGATGTGTGAGTTGAGCTGCATGAGATCCCAGCAGGGCAATGGCTACAGGGGAAACCCCAGGACGAGGGCACAGAGAATTCCAACAGAGACTTGGCCACAGCTGCCAGCTCTGACTAGGGCTGCCTAAGAGCTGCCCACCACCAACAGCTGTGGTGAGAGGCCGTGAGCCTCCGTGGGATGCAGGGCAAGTCCTGAGGAGCTAGGGGGCCCCAGGGACTGTCTCTTGTTGGTTTCCATTCTCCTTGCCATCACCCCCCACCCTCACCCTTACCCTCCCAGGCTGGGGCAGTTAAGGAAAGCCTTGAGGGTCACCCTGTGACCATGAGTCTGCCCTGAAAAGCAATGTCAATACAGTGGAATGCAGGCACCAGCCCAGGACTGGATCTGAGCAGTTGCAGAAGAAGCAGGAACCTGGAGTGGTGTGCGGGTTTGAGATACACATCAACCACAGTAATGAAGTGGCAAGTCAGATCCGATAATTCAAAAAAGTTCAGAGGCTGGGAACCCAACATGGAATCCCAACTCCCCATTCATTCATTCATTCACTCATTCATGAATGTCCAGGTTGTACCCTGTGCTTGAGAAGGAGCAGTGGAGGCTGCAGGTCTCCGCTGTGAGGATGAGGGGGACCCTGGGGCTGGGGGCTCAGCAGGCTTGCCCTGAGTGGTCCCCATGGGTTCTAACCCCAAGCCAGGCTCTGTGCTTGAACCTGTGGATACAAAGAGGGGTCATGCAAGGGTCGCCATTATAAAGGGGAAATTTATTTCCACCGGAAACATTCCCACCTCCTGAAGTGTCCTCTCTCCTTAAAAAGAGCCCCAGTAGCCAGTGCTGCTTCACAGATAACCACCACAGTCTTAGCCACTTGGCAGCCTTTCAAGGAAGGAGGTAAGGGCCCCTTTATCAGCAGGGCCCAGCCAGGTGAGTGGCTAGTAGGGACAGATGAATTTGGTAGCAAGAGACAGTAACATCCAGGTGACAGGTGGAGCAGAAGACAGGGCCACTGGTGACAGGGGCTCTGGACTAAAGCTGTCAGAGTGTGACTGAGGGTCCAGTCACAGGGGACACAGAGAACAGGCTTGCTTGGGAGCAGGGACCCGTCCCCCGCATCCACACCACACTCAGGGAGGATTGGGCTCACACCAAGTGGCTGTGATTCCCAGCAACTGAGACTGTGGTTTGAGGCAAGGGTGCTCAACTCTACTGCACATGAGAATGGCCCCGGGGCTTTTGAATCTGCTGCTGCCAGGCTGCACCCAGGCCAGTTAGATCAGAATCTAACCAGAGGGTAGGCCTGGACATTGGTGACCCACCAGACTCAGGTTGTTCCAATATTGAGAGCTGCTGGTTTAGGGCTCCTTAAATCCCTCTGAAAGAGTCCAGGTTGTGCCCTGAGCTGAAGAAGGAGCAGTGGAGACTATGGGTCCCTGCTGTGAGGATGAGGGACATCGTGGGGCCGGGGTCTCAGCAGGCTTGCCCTGAGTGTTCCTGAAAGAGCTACTTTCCAAGTCCCAAAAGACCATATCAAAATACCACTGACCTAAAGTGCCTCATTTCTGCTGATTCACATTTGCCCCAGCCTCTGCCATCCATAAGAATATGCTGTAGAGGAAACACTGATTAAGCATCGTCTGCCAGCCTGGCACCTTGGACATAATCCTCTAATCCTCTGTGTGACCAGGTATTATTCTCACCTGTCAGGGATGGAAACTGAGGCTGAGAGAGGTGAGTCAGCACAGAACTGCACAGGATTCGGGCAGCGAGTGGCAGAGCTGGGGTCTGAGTCGGGGTCACTGACTCCTGGTCCTAGGTTCCCTCCTCCCTGTTCCATCATCCTCAAGGCACCAGGAGCCCAGGAAGCCTGGCCTCACATTGAGTTTGCACAGAGAACTGCATCAGACACCCTCCTGTCTGCAGCTCCTGTGTGGGATGTAGTACCAGGTGCAAAAGGAGGGGTTACAGGAGGGTTGTGATGTCTA